TTTTACATTTATTTTTTGGAGATAAGCTTTGATTATCTCAAACAAATCTTTCAAAAGCTACCACTTAACTAGTAAATAACCAAATAGGAAAATATATTTTAGATAAGTATTGAAAAGGACCTCTATAGGTAAGAAAATACCACATTGTATTTGGCAAGTTTTGACCTCATTAAAGGGACACTATAGTCACCTGAACAACTTTAGGTTAATGAAGCAGTTTTGGTGTATAGAACATGCCCCTGCAGCCTCACTGCTCAATCCTCTGCCATTTAGGAGTTAAATCCCTTTGTTTATGAACCCTAGTCACACCTCCCTGCATGTGACTTGCACAGCCTTCCATAAACACTTCCTGTAAAGAGAGACCTATTTAGGCTTTTTTTATTTAAAGTTCTGTTTAATTCAGATTTTTTCTTATCCCCTGCTATGTTAATAGCTTGCTAGACCCTGTAAGAGCCTCCTGTATGTGATTAATGTTCAATTTAGAGATTGAGATACAATTATTTAAGGTGAATTACATCTGTTTGAAAGTTAAACCAGTTTTTTTTCATACAGGCTCTGTCAATCATAGCCAGGGGAGGTGTGGCTAGGGCTGCATAAACAGAAACAAAGTGATTTAACTCCTAAATGACAGTGAATTGAGCAGTGAAATTGCAGGGGATTGATCTATACACTAAAACTGCTTTATTTAGCTAAAGTAATTTAGGTGACTATAGTGTACCCTTAATACCGGTATTTATTTTTGAATGTGCAAGCATGGATAGCTTATCAGCTTTCTGCTCTATAGCCTGTCTCCTTACCCACACTTCTGGTTCTAACATACAGCACCCTTAGTCCATTACATACACCGTTCAGCATCTGGCAGCACTGGATGCTGATATACAAGACCAGAATAGAGCAAGAAAGGGAGTGCAAATACAGGCCAACATGTGGTAAGTATCTCTTTACAGGTCTGTCCCGTGTCTACTAAACAGTGCATTCATAGCCTTGTGCACGTGTGCACTAGATTATGAAAGCACTACTTAATAAACATGCAAGGAGGGATTTATAATTTTTGCCAGCATTTCATTGTAATGGTAAACTGTAATGGCAGTTATAATGATTAATGGTTTGCCTCACATTTTTGCAGCTTTACCAACCTCACCCTTGTATGTGGATTGTGAGTGAAAAAAGAGGAGCTCTCAGCATTAAAGGACCACTATAGTGCCTAGAAAACATACTCGTTTTCCTGGCACTATAGTGCCCTGAGGGTGCCCCCACCCTCAGGGTCTTCCTCCCGCCTGGCTCTGGGGAGAGGAAAGGGGTTAAAACTTACCTTTTTCCAGCGCTGGGCGGAGAGCTCTCCTCCTCCGATCCTCCACTTCTCCTCCCCGTCGGCTGAATGCGCACGCGCGGCAAGAGCTGCGCGCGCATTCAGCCGGTCACATAGGAAAGCATTCATAATGCTTTCCTATGGACGCTGGCGTGCTCTCACTGTGAAAATCACAGTGAGAAGCACGCAAGCGCCTCTAGTGGCTGTCAATGAGACAGAGGGATGGGGGAAGGCTTAACCCATTCATAACATAGCAGTTTCTCTGAAACTGCTATGTTTATGAAAAAATGGGTTAACCCTAGCTGGACCTGGCACCCAGACCACTTCATTAAGCTGAAGTGGTCTGGGTGCCTAGAGTGGTCCTTTAACAGTAAAGTGTGCTCTGCGATCACTATCTGTGGTGGACGGGTCAGAGGCTCCCAGTTTGTGTGCCTGCATGGGATGCTTGTCTGTGTGTCATGGGGTCTCTCTAAATAACAGCACTTTCAAAGCCCAATTTTAGTGTACCAGGCTATGACAGAACTGTTTAGCCTAGGTACCCCAAGCACACGCATTGTGATTTCTTATACTAACCTACATTTGCATTTGTAATTGCTACAGAAACTAAACTGCCATTACATTTTAGATGCGCTGAGATGACCATATGAAATATATGATTCTCATGCAACAGAGAGTGCCATCTTCTTGTTAGTTTAAAATAGTGCAGATTTTAAAAGAAATTGTCATTTTTATAAAATGACATGGTTGTAATCATCAAACTGTCAGACACCAGGGAGGGTTCTCTTCCTGGGTGCTTTGTGCAGAGGCACAGAGTGGAAGCCTTTGCCTAGGAGAGATTGCCCAAAACACCAGCATTATTAATAAATGTCTTTATTTATAATAACACTGGAGTGTTCATTTAATAGTATTAAAAATTATCACATGGAGCCCACAGACAAGAGGGACATGAGTAGTAGAATGGCTAGTCAAGAGCAGGTCTGCATTTTTCTCCTAATAAAAATCAGATTTACCTATATTTTTATAGTAAAAAAAAAAATAAAAAATCAAGACAAAATCAGATACATTTAGGGGAAGTACAAACTATTAGATTCAGGTCATTAGTCCTGGGGATAGAAATGTTGTTAGTCCACATAATTCCAAATAAGTTATCCAAAAAGAGGTATAAAAGGGTTCTTCAAAATATATATATACATACATACATATACATATACACACACATACATACATACACAATAAGCTCTGAGTTGCAGCAATTCTATCTGAATGTCAAAACTTTGGTAGGAATAGCTGATCTGGTAAACTTCTCCAGCATAACCATAGTCACAGCTTGACTATTTCAGCCTCAATTTTTTTATTCAGATTTAATTCACTAAAATTCAGTGTTTAGAGAATAACTGATGATTAAAGGGATACTATAGGCACCAGACCACTTCAGCTCATTAAAGTGGTCTTGGTGCAGTGTCCCTATTGCACTTAGAGCAATGTTTACATTGTAGCACTACTAGACAGCCACCAGAGGTGCTTCCTGCATGTTACCAGACTTTTGGTCCGGTAACTGATGCTAGACGTCCTCACGATCTGCATAAAGGGCATCCAGCGTCAGCTATTTCCCCATTGGAAATTAAGTCAATGCTTTCAGCATTAGCACCCACTCTTCGGCGCTGGGCTTAGGTAAGTAAATAAACACTAGAGGCAATTTTATAACTAAAATGTAATTATTGAAGTTTCTCAAGAAGGACTAAGTGGGACAAGGACATTGCATCCAGATTACTTCAATGAGATAAAATGGTCTGGGTGACTAGTGTCCCTTTAAAGCGACTGTCACCTTCTGAAGTCTTTGTCTATTTTGTGGTGACATCTTTACTTGATGTGCTGTGCCCCAGGGATGCAGTGAAATTAGATATACTTACCTGATGCTGTCCCCCGCTACCACTACCATCTTTTTTCATTTCCTGGCATTTCATCCACCAGCAAGAGTACAACACGGATGTTGATAAAAGAACCAGAGAGAGCATCCTAGACAATGCCTTTTCCCCCACGTGTTACTAGAGACAGCTTTTACAAAACTTGACTTCTGTTTCGCCATTTGGCAAGCATAGGAAAAATACACAATATCTTTTAACTGCTATGGAATTTAAAGGGACACTATTTACAAGGAAACTCTAGAAAACACAACTTGACTTTAATGAAGCAGTTTTGGTGTAGAGATCATGCCTTTGCAGTCTCACTGCGCATTTATCTGCCATTCAGGAGTTAAAGGACCACTATAGGCAACCAGACCACTTCCGCTCAATGAAGTCTGAGTACCAGGTCCCGCTAGTTTTAACCTTGCAGCTGAAAACATAGTAGTTTCAAAGAAACTAGAGGCAGCTTCCACAATTTACACTGAGTAAATCGCACATATTTGATGCTGGACGTCATTACTGAGTCCAGCGTCAAATAAGATTTCCATAGGAAAACATTGAATGCTTTCCTTTGGGTGGGTTTGAATGTGTACGCGCACCTCTGGCTCCACTAGGGAGCTGACATTGGCGGTGGATGAGAGGTCACCAGCGCAGAAAGAATCTGGTGCAGGATTAAGGTAAGTGGCTGAAGGCGCCGAGGGAGGGAGGCACTCCAAGAGCCTATAGTGCCAGGAAAACGGGTTTGTTTTCCTGGCACTATAGGATCCCTTTAACCCCTTAAGGACCAAACTTCTGGAATAAAAGGGAATCATGACATGTCACACATGTCATGTGTCCTTAAGGGGTTAAATCACTTTGTTTATATAGCCCTAGCCACACTTCCCTGCATGTAACCTGCCCAGCCTTCATGAAAAAGAATGGTTTCACTTTCAAATCAGATGTTAACTTTGTAACAGGATATATGATTTTGCACATTAGAAATGGAAAAATAAGCAAGAAGTATTGACGACACCATTCCCATCCCTCCCAGCCAGCCACACACCATCCCCATCCCTCCCAGCCAGCCACACTCCATTCCCCATCCCTCCCAGCCAGCCACACTCCATTCCCCATCCCTCCCAGCCAGCCACACACCATCCCCATCCCTCCCAGCCAGCCACACTCCATTCCCCATCCCTCCCAGCCAGTCACACTCCATCCCCCATCCCTCCCAGCCAGCCACACTCCATTCCCATCCCTCCCAGCCAGCCACACTCCATTCCCATCCCTCCCAGCCAACCACACTCCATCCCCATCCCTCCCAGCCAGCCACACTCCATTCCCCATCCCTCCCAGCCAGTCACACTCCATCCCCCATCCCCCCCAGCCAGACAGACAGACAGAGATGGCAGTTTACCCCAGAGAGCGGTGACCCGGTGTCAGTCAGTGACGGCCCCTCCCCCGCTATCCGTTATGACCGTTACTCTGTGAGCATTCTAACCTGCCCGATCAGCGCGAGCCGCCAACTGCCAGGCCACGCCCACACTGCGCGCTGCCGGAAACGCGTCATCTTGTCAGGTTATAGAGTTCCCGCCCAAAAGCAGGCTTCCCCATAGACATAGAATACCGTCTATTGGCCTCCCATGCAACTACAGGAGGTGTGACGTAAGAGGAACCATGTGACTACAGAGGTCACATGATACAAAGGAAACTCAAATCAACAGGAACTGCTGTGATTGGCATCTCTGTCTGTGACACACACACACACACACACACACACACACACACACACACACACTCTCACACTCTCACTCTCTCTCTCTCTCTCTCTCTCCCCCCCACACATTCATTATCTCTCCCTGCCAATCTCCTCGCGTTGTCTCTCTCCGTCCCGCACTCCGTCGCGCTGCCTCTCTCCGTCCCGCACTCCGTCGCGCTGTCTCTCTCCGTCGCGCTGTCTCTGTCATGCTGTCCCGCACTCCGTCGTGCTGTCTCTCCGTCGCGCTGTCTCTCTCCGTCCCGCTCTCCGTCTCGATGTCTCTCTCCGTCCCGCACTCCGTCGCGCTGTCTCTCTCCGTCCCGCACTCCGTCGCGCTGCCTCTCTCCGTCCCGCACTCCGTCGCGCTGCCTCTCTCCGTCCTGCACTCCGTCGCGCTGCCTCTCTCCGTCCCGCACTCCGTCGCGCTGTCTCTCTCCGTCGCGCTGTCTCTCTCCGTCCCGCTCTCCGTCTCGATGTCTCTCTGCGTCCCGCTCTCCGTCGCGCTGTTTCTCTCCTTCCCGCTCTCAGTCGCGCTGTCTCTCTCTGTCCCGCTCTCAGTCGCGCTGTCTCTCTCTGTCCCGCTCTCCGACGCGCTGTCTCTCCGTCCCGCTCTCCGACGCGCTGTCTCTCCGTCGCGCTCTTCCTCCCTCCGTGCAATGTCTCTCTGCGTCCCGCTCTCCGAGGCGCTGTCTCTCTCCGTACCGCACTCCGTCACGCTCTTCTGCCCTCCGTGGCAATGTCTCTCTGCCGCGGTGTTGGTACGTCCCATTTTCCGTCGATGTCTCTACGTCCCGCTCATGCATTTCACATCTTGTTTATTATCAGTGCTTTTTTTTCCTGATCATTGTACAAGTATTGGATATGAAATATTTACAAGCACTGATGTTATAGAAACATAGAATGTGACGGCAGATAAGAACCATTCGGCCCATCTAGTCTGCCCAATTTTCTAAATACTTTCATTAGTCCCTGGCCTTATCTTATAGTTAGGATAGCCTTATGCCTATCCCACGCATGCTTACACTCGTTTACTGTGTTAACCTTTACCACTTCAGCTGGAAGGCTATTCCATGCATCCACTACCCTCTCAGTAAAGTAATACTTCCTGATATTATTTTTAAACCTTTGTCCCTCTAATTTAAGACTATGTCCTCTTGTTGTGGTAGTTTTTCTTTTTAAATATAGTCTCCTCCTTTACTGTTTTGATTCCCTTTATGTATTTAAATGTTTCCATCATATCCCCCCGTCTCGTCTTTCCTCCAAGCTATACATGTTAAGATCCTTTAACCTTTCCTGGTAAGTTTTATCCTGCAATCCATGAACCAGTTTAGTAGCCCTTCTCTGAACTCTCTCTAAGGTATCAATAACCTTCTGAAGATACGGTCTCCAGTATTGCGTACAATACTCCAAGTGAGGTCTCCCAGTGTTCTGTACAATGGCATGAGCACTTCCCACTTTCTACTGCTAATACCTCTCCTTATATAACCAAGCAATCTGTTAGCATTTCCTGCTGCTCTATTACATTGTCTGCCTACCTTTAAGTCATCAGAAATAATCACCCCTAAATCCCTTTCCTAAGATGTTGAGGTTAGGACTCTATCAAATATTCTGTACTCTGCCCTTGGCTTTTTACGTCCAAGATGCATTATCTTGCACTTATCCACCATTTTTCTAGTTTACCTAAATCATTTGCCATTTGGCTTATCCCTCCTGGAACATCAATCCTGTTACATATCTTAGTATCATCAGCAAAAAGACATACCTTACCATCAAGACCTTCTGCAATATCACTAATAAAAAATATTAAAGAGAATGGGTCCAAGTACAGATCCCTGAGGTACCCCACTGGTGACAAGTCCAAGCTTCGAATATATTCCATTAACTACAACCCTCTGTTGCCTGTCACTCAGCCACTGCCTTACCCATTCAACAATATTGGAATCCAAACTTAAAGATTGCAGTTTATTGATAAGCCTTCTATGTGCAACAGTGTCAAAAGCCTTACTGAAATCTAGGTAAGCAATGTCTACTGCACCACCCTGATCTATAATTTTAGTTACCCAATCAAAAAAATCAATAAGATTAGTTTGGCATGATCTCCCTGAAGTAAACCCATGTTGTCTCTGATCTTGAAATCCATGTGTTTTTAGATGTTCAACAATCCTATCCTTTAACATGGTTTCCATCACTTTCCCTACTACTGAAGTAAGGCTTACTGGCCTATAGTGGCCCGACTCCTCCCTATTACCTTTCTTGTGAATGGGTACAACATTCGCCAACTTCCAATCTTTTGGGACTACTCCTGTTAACAATGATTGGTTAAATAAATCTGTTAATGGTTTTGCTAGTACACCACTAAGCTCTTTTAACAGCTTTGGGTGTATTCCATCAGGTCCCATTGACTTATTTGTCTTTACTTTTGACAGTTGAAATAGAACCTCTTCCTCTGTAAACGCACGTGTAATAAATTACTCATATATCCTTCTTCTTAACTGAGGTCCCTTTTCTTCATTTTCATCTGTAAATACCGAACAAAAATATTAATTGAGGCAGTCAGCTAGACCTTTATCCTCTTCTACAAATCTTCCTTCTTTTGTTTTTAATCTAACTAATCCTTGTTTTACTTTTCTTTTCTCATTTATGTATCTAAAAAAAGTTTTGTCCCCCTTTTTTACTGACTGTGCTATTTTCTCTTGTGTGTGTGATTTGGAAGCTCTTATAACTTGCTTAGCCTCTTTCTGCCTAATCTTATAGATCATTTTGTCTTCCTCACTCTGGGTTTTTTTATAATTCCTAAATGCTAACTTTTTGTTTTTAACTATTTTGGCCACATCTGCGGAGTACCACAGTGGTTTCTTGAATTTTTTGCTTTTACTGACAAGCCTAATGCAATTTTCTGTTGCCTTCAATAGTGCAACTTTTAAATAATCCAATTTCTCTTGGACTCCATTTAAATTGCTCCAGTCTGATAATGACTCCTCTACCCATATTCTAATTTTAGAAAAGTCTGTTTTTCTAAAGTCTAAAACTTTTGTTTTTGTGTGGTGTGACTCAGTCACTGTTCTTATATTAAACCACACTGACTGATGATCACTGGATCCTAAACTTTCACCTACAGTAATATCTGATACCAAATCTCCATTTGTTAACACTAAATCTAGTATGGCCTTTTTACGAGTTGGCTCCTCAACAACTTGTTTTAGAGACAATCCCAGTAGGGAGTTTAGAATATGTGTGCTCCTGGCACAAGCAGCTATTTTGTTTTCCAATTCACATCAGGAAGATTAAAGTCACCCATGATGATAACTTCCCCCTTCATTGTAATTTTAGCTATTTCCTCAACTAGTAGATTATCTAACTCTTCAATTTGTCCTGGGGGCCTATAAATCACACCTACACAAGTTACTGTGTGATTACCAAATTCTAACGTAACCCAAACGGACTCTATGTTCGCCTCACTAACTTTTATTATGCTAGATTTTATGCTATCCTTCACATACAGGGCCACCCCTCGCCCCTTTTTGCCTTCCCTGTCTTTTCTATATAAAGAGTACCCAGGTATTGCTATGTCCCAGTCATTTTTCTCATTATACCATGTCTCAGTAACAGCGACTAAATCTACACTATCAGTTGCCATTATTGCCACAAGTTCATGGATCTTATTCCCTAAACTGCAAGCATTTGTAGACATGACTCTAAGCTTATCATTTTTTATCACACTTGCTATAGGCACCTTCTGTCCTTGTTTTGGGGGACAATTGGATAGATGTTTTATCACCCTTTTGCCCCCCCCCCCCTTCCTAGTTTAAAGACATCATAGCAAAACCTCTGAACTGCTCACTGAGAACACTTGTTCCCTTTTGAGAAAAGATGCAAACCATCTTTTCCATTCCAAACAGAGCTGTGATGAGAAATAAAGCCAAATCCTTGCTCCCGACACCATTCACCAAGCCACAAGTTAAAGTCCATAATACGCATCCGCCTGTCGTTCATAGTGTTATGCACAGGCAGAACTTCAGAGAATGACAGTGTGGAAGCAACCTGCCATATATCATTGGCAAAAACACTAAAAACTTCCTTAACCTATGAGAAGCATTTGATTGGAAAGCAATGTAAGTGCATAAGTAGCTACCTATCCATATGAATGGAAAACTCCTGATTGGTTTAGACTCTCCCTGTGGCACTCCTCCAGATTCTGCTGGGGGAACTGGAGGCAACATTTGGGTTACACCATTCACATGGTCATTCCTTGCACCATAACAACATAATTTTAATTAAGTTGTTATGGTGTCCAGAGTGTTCCTTTAAGCATTCAGCTTCATAAGGTAAGGAGGCAACCAGTGACTCAAGCTGCAATAATTACATTTTGGTTAACTTGTTATAGGGGCTGGAGTGGGTCCAGAATTTCTTTAAATTGGTATCAGGACCACATACTTGTTACTAAGCAGTAATATGTAAGATCACCCTCTGTTCCTGACACTTTTCATGCTCAACCTTTAGAAGCTTGCATAATTTGTTAGGAGTACTTACCAATATGACACATTTGCACCAGGCACTCATGTCAGTCTGTGGAGTCACTCACTACTTTTGATGCACCTATGTAGACTTGTAGCCAACCTGTTTAACCCCTTATGGTCTGAGGCAGTTGTACAAGTTGTGATCAAAACAAAACGTAAACAAAACCTTGATTTTGCGCTATATGTCTGTTCAGGCGTAATTCTCCTCTTTCATATTATGTGCACCCACACTCATATATTATTTTTAGAAACAAGGTTTTCATGTTACATCAAATATTTGTATATTAAACACAATTTAATATGAATAAAATATATTAAAAAATTGAGAAATTAAGATTTTTTTTTCAATTTTATTTTAGTTTTGCATGGCATTTTAACTGTGAATGTCACAATACTGTTAGCTGTTACTGCAATAAAGTACACATATTTGTATTCAGCGATGTCTCATGAGTAAAACAGTACCCCCAATGTACAGGTTTTATGGTGTTTTGGAAAATTAACTGGTCTATATGACAAATTAAATAGTGTTAGTGCTAAATAAGCCAAAGTGTATTGAAATAATCTGTTTGTAAGAGCAATGTAAATATATATAATACAAAAAGTAATATGATAAATACAATTTAAAAAATAAATATTTAAAATTTAACAATTAAAGTGATAGTGCTTCTGTGTATAAACTCACAATGCAAATTATATATCTGCTCAGTGTAAATTAAAATTAAACTAATCCAAACCTCCTCAAATATATACCTGTGGTCACCTCCCTTTTGTTTTATTTACACTCTGTTCCAAATTATTATGCAAATGATATTTTTCTCATTTACCTAAATAATTGATGTAAATAACAGTCAGCATAATTCTCATGTTATCAACTATTAAGAGTACAATTCAAATTTTATTGAGCAAACCTCCTAATGATAACAGTATTTTTTTTAAACATAAAAAACTTACAATCCACTGTTTTTTTTTGACATTCTTTATTTTTATGGTACAGTTAATGATACAGTTTACACATTAGTATTTGACACATTGTAACAAGCGTTAATAAACTCAATGAACCCTTATGTCGTTCAGGATTTTTTTCAAAAATTTGTAATGGTCAACAGCATAGGGTCAGACTTTGTAGAGAGGTTTAGTCGGGGTCCTTGGTCAAGTCAAGCTGGGCTTGCCGGTGGAGCATTGTTTATGCGTTCTGCGTTAGCTAGTGTTTGGCCACGAGATCGTGTGGGCATGTGTGTCAACTTTTGGGTTGTGTGTAGTGGCTATGCTTCTCTGTTTGGGTGTGTACCCTCTTGGCGTGCCAGGTGAGGGGGGGCATGACCCTTCCTGCGGATATTCCCCCTGGGGATCTAACTCGGTCCAACTCTATTCCCCAGGGATGTTACGTGTGGGTTAGGGCCCTCACCTCAACTTCGAGCACGTCCCGCCCCTCTTAGAGGGGGGGTCCTCCCCAAGCGGGTGATCTTTGGCCCGCCAACTGTCATAGCCGTCTGTATTTCTTGATGGGAACAAGAGCGTTGGAGTCAACAAGTGCTTGGTGGTCATTCGCCTTTGGGTTAATCCGTTTAGCTATTGTGCCTACCGGTCTTGGTGCCCTGGTTGCAGGGTTGGGGTCTGTGTCACCCTCCGTCCTCCTCCCCGTCGCCCTTGTCCATGTCTGACGGCGGGTCCCTCCAGGGAAGGTCTCATAATCCCTGTACCCTGAGTGTGGTTTCGTCCGCATATGGCCTTGTCTCCTCTCCCTTTTTGTAAACCTATGTCTTAGTCTCTATTTGAGCGGCGGTACCCATATCTAGATCGGGGAGGGGTCGTCGTCTGGTTCTACTGGTCTGGTCCGCCCTGTTGCGGGATGTCATTAGGGGTAGTGATGCAGCATTCCATCCCCCTCAGTACTGTGTTTTCGGGGGTACTCTAACAGTTCAGCCGTCGTGTCTCAGGCTAGAGGTTGTTCCTCTGTATTAGGGTGCGGTAACGGGGTGGGGTGAGTTAGTGGGGTGGGTTGCGGGAAAAGAAAGGTTTGTCGCTGCCGCGGTCCAGCCCGTTCCTGCTCTACGTGGCCTCCTCCCTAAGCCCCGGACAGGCGGCCTCCGGTCGCCACCCCCTCCAGTCGGCTACATGTGTAATCCATGGTGTCCACAGGTGGGTGCAGCATTCTTGTGTTCCGCGGAGCTCCGCAGTGAGGGACTCCATTGCATAAAGCTCATCGACCTTGCCCATCCACTATGAGATGGTGGGGATGTTCGATGATTTCCATCTGGCAGGGATTAGGTTTCTGGCTGCATTAAGGAAATGTTGAATGAGGGTTTTCTTGTAGCGCCATATTGGCGTCCGAGTGTGATTGAGTAGCATGGGAAGGGGTTCCATGGGGATGTCCGCGTCTAAGATTTTAGTGAGTTTGTCGTGGATCTGCTGCCAGTAGGGGTGATCTGAGGGCAAGACCACCAAATGTGCAGGTCCGTCCCCTCAGCGGTTTCGCATCGCCAGCATGTGTTGTTGGGTGCGATCCCCATGGCATGTAGCCGTGCTGGGGTCCTATACCAGCACGTCAGGATTTTGTCATTAAGTTCTTGCATTTTGGAGCTCAGTATTCCTTGGTGAGAGAGAACATGTATTTTCTCCCACTGCTGTTCCGTTAAAGTGACTTCTGTTGCCTGTTCCCACTTTGAGTTGAAATATGCCGGGGGCCCCATGTCTGCCGCTAGGAGCATAGCGTAAAAGGTCGAGACACCGCGGGGCGGGTGTCCCTCCTCGATGTCTCGGGAGGATATATTGTGCCTTTTTTACTCTCGGATGACCCGCCGCCCATACGAACCTCAGTATCGCTGAACCCAGGGAGTTGCAGTAGGCCTGTGAGATCGTGATCGGGATGGCTTGAAAAAGATATAACAGGCGTGGCAACAAGTTCATCTTCACTGCGTTTATCCTCCCGAACCACGACACGCACAGGCGTCGCCATCTAAGCATGTCTACATGGAGCGTTTGGAGGATGGGGAGAAAATTCTCTTGGTATAGCCTTGTCAGATCTCTGGTAAGACAGATACCGAAGTATTTTACACGTTGCTGGCACCATTTGAAGGGGAACTCCGCTGTCAGCCGCTCAACCAGTTCAGGGGGCAGAGACAGGGGAAGGGCTTCAGACTTGTCCGCATTGAGTTTTAGGTTAGAGATCCTTCCGAACCTGTCAAATGCAGTTAGTAAGTTGGGCAGAGTGACCAATGGGTTGCTCACGAAGAAGAGGAGGTCGTCCGCATAGGCCGCCACCTTATGTACCTTATCGCCATGGGCGACCCCCGTGATGCCCCCGTCCCGTCTGACCGCCTCGAGAAATGGTTCCAGAGAGAGGGCAAACAGAAGGGGGGACAGTGGGCGGGAGGCCAACTGGGCCAGAACCGGCGAGTGGTCTGACCAGGCAGCCGGGAGTATTTCACATTTTTGTAAAAGGTTAAGGTATTCTTGCGAGATGAGGATGTAATCTAATTGGCTATAGCCACAGTGGACCGGGGAGAAATATGAGAAATCTTTGTCTTCCGGGTGTAGAATTCTCCAGCAATCCGCTAGTCCCGCCGTTCTGAGCGCCGATTGTGCAGCTTTGATGCATGTGTCTAGCAATGAGCTGCGCCCCCTTGAAGTGTCTATCCGGGGGTCTATTGGTAAATTGAGGTCCCCTGCCAGGATTAGGAGTCCTTCCTGAAAGTGCTCCAGTAGTTTTAAGGTTTTGGAGATGAAACGATATTGTTTGGTGTTGGGTGCATATATGGAAGTGAAGGTGTATCGCTTATGTGTTATGGAGCCCTTGATGAAAATGTAGCGTCCAAGTGGGTCGGCCTTCACCACCGTACAGACGAAGGGGACATGAGTGGCGAAGAGTATGGCCACTCCTGCTTTCTTGGCGTCCCTGTGGTTGGCAAAATATCCCATCGGGAACCTCCGGTCTCGAAGTAGCGGTCCTGTTGGCCCCTGAAAATGGGTCTCTTGTAGGAGGGCTACTGAAGCCCTGTTTGCCCACAGGGCTCTCAGCAAATGTGACCTCCGTTTCGGGGTGTTCAGGCCCCGGACGTTGTTGGACAAGATGCGTAGGGGCGCCTGGGCAAACCCCCCCGGTACCCAGTGAGGCCACATGGGCTGGTGCATAGGACGGGACAGGAGGGAGGTAGGTAGTAAGGGGAAAAAAGGGGGGGAGAGAGGAGGGGGCTTGAGGCCCATGAGAGCCGACCTGGTCAGAGCACGGGCGTTTAGTGGTCTGGGTGCTCATGCGTAGCAGTAATGTAGTCTTGGTTGGCGGGTCGTCTAAGGTGTCGGTTGTCAGTGAACAGAACAGTAAAACTATATACAATGTCAGACTCGACTGTCGAGGCTAAGTCGGAAAGGGGTGGGTTATCTCTTTTAAATATATCCCCCCTTGTCACTCCTTCCTAGTATTTTGCACAGTGTGTCTGTGGGTGCGTGCGCGTCTGCAGGCACAGGGTTAAGTTTTCGTGAAATATCTAATGTTTTCATACCTCGTCCAAGGCATTGGACTATTTCACTCTTTTGGCAGCAGAGAGATCCTTTTTCTTCCCCATATTGCATGAAAATGGTGCTCTGCTTAATAATGTGGAACACCCTCCTTTAATAGTTTTTCCTTAAATTGGGCTCACCTGGCAATCTAATTACCACATTGTTTTCAGTGATCAAAAGAGCCCTGAGACACAATGCCATCCATGAGTTAAACTGAAAATCAAAATATTAAATCTTTGTGACACTTAAATAGAATTTGCATAATAATTTGGAACAGGGTGTATTAGTGGGCATCCTGCTTAAGGCACTGCACCTGCACAAAAATGCGACACAAGGGCATGGACTTGTTTAAGCCTCATCAGTGTTTGGACAATGCCCTTTCATAGCCCTTAAGCGCATTATTTTGTGATTTTTGTCTTGTTCTTGTACCAACTATGCCCCTGACTTTGTCATGTCCAGTGCTCTTCTACCAGATTTAGCTAGATCCCGAACTTTCTCCTGTCTAGTGTCTTTATGTACCAGACTCTGCTCCTGTGTTCTGTTTATCAGAACCACTTATCCTTGGGTAGAAATAGGAAAATGTTAACTATAAATGTGTATGAAGTCTTACAGTTTTACGTTGTCTATTTTTGGTAGGCAAGTTTTGTAGAAATGTTGCAATTCCCTTGTCCATATTCTCTTTATTATTATTTATATAGCGCCAACAAACTCAGCAACGCTGTACAATAGTTGGACGAATAAACATGTAATTGTAACCAGACAAGTTGGACGCACAGGAACAGAGGGGTTGAGGTCCCTGCTCAATGAGCTTACATGCTAGAGGGAGTGTGGTAAAGTGACACAAAAGGTAAGGACAGTATTAGAGAAGTAATGACAGTTGCAGGAGAGGGATTCGTTGGAAGCTATTAACAGTTTAATTGATACGCTTTTGTGAAGAAGTGATTTTTTTTTAATGATTTTTTGAAAGAGTGGAAACTGGGTGAGCATCTAACAGAAAATAGAACGGAGCTCCACAGGAACGTTGCAGCCCTTGAGAAGTCTTGAAGGCGAGCATCAGAGGTGGGAGTACGAACAGAAGGTAGACGTTAGACTTCGGCAGATCATAGGGGCCTAGACAGGACATACTTGTGTATTAGGGAGGATAACCCACATATAAAGTGTGTAGGTGTGTATGTGAATGTTCAGTTTTTGGAAACCGTGTGAATGCATAAGCAGTCACTGTATCAATGCAAGTATGTATGACATGTTATATGTAATGTTAGTATGGGAAAGCATTATGTAAATGTTGTCAGGGATTTTATAAATTTACTTTATGTGCAGAAATTTGTTTCCAATGATAGTGTGCGTATATTCAGATGTCTTTATCGGAGTATTTAAAGTGAAGGGTTCTACTTGTGTGTAAAAATACAGGTGTATATTCATTGCCAATGCTGTAGTGAGAATGCAATGTTGCATTTGTTTGAATGCATGTGTGTGAGTGAAGTGGTTATAGTGAGTATGTGAATTTGTTAAATGCTAGTGTTTGTGAGAATGAAGGGATGCTACCATGTGGAAGATGAATAAATGTGGATGTAGTTTGTGACTTAGTGATGCTTTTCAGTATAGCGGATGTGAATGCATTCTCGTTTTTCAGATGTCCTAGTCTTCACATCCCCTCACCAGTTCTGCACCTCCGCATGTTCTCAAGTGTCTTATTTATGTAACTCCTCCTTTACTCCATATATTTGTCTCTCTCAACCACCCTTTTCTTCAGTAGGGTCTCACCCATCATTTTCCTGTATTCTCAATTACTGTATTTTTCCATGTATAAGAATGTTTTTTTTCTAAAAAAAATTTAGTCTAAAATTGGGGTTTGTCTTATACACGGACGTTCACTGCAGTTGCTAAAAAAAACAAAACACTTGTGCGCGGGGCGTAAGCCAAGATGGCTCCTGCCACTTTTCAGTGTGCCACAGCCCACACACATACCTAGCTTCCCTCCCTCCGATCCACTTCTGAATGTTGTGGCAAGGAGGAAGAGGTCCCTATATGTGTGGGAGCTGCTGCAGACATCAGCACTTACCACCAATGGAGCTCCAGAGACATGCCACACCATAAAAGGAGCAACCACATTAAGGTTTGCTCCACCTCAGAAAGGTCTTGCTTTCTGATTTATCTTTATGGGGGAGGAAATGTGGATCAGGGAGCAGAGGAAATATTGCTGTGATGTCCCAGCATGCCCTCAAACCACCTGCTGTATTGTCGGAGTTGTAGTCTCCCATCATGTACTACAGAACCATTAACTTCACAGAGTACCGTAGCACAGGGGAGGCATGAGAATCAGAAGTGTGCTGTTCTCTTCCGTAGTCAACTCAAAAATATCAAAGCTGTCATATTTGATATTTAAAATATTTATTTATTAATTTTGGGCTCAAAAAATAGGGGTCATCTTATACACGGAAAAATACTGTATATCTCTCCCTCACTTCTCTCCAACTGTTTCACTCTATCTTCTTTTCCCACAAGTTGTGAATTACCGCTACCAATACTGGGTGCTATATTCTACTCCAGATATTTGTTCAAGTTGTACTGTTGATTTGTGATGTGCACTGGATTCACTTCTTGCATGTAGCATCTGCATTGGGACAGCCACAAGGACAGAATACAGAGCTGGATCAACAGCACATTCTGGGTTAGCCACACTACAGATCAAAGTAAAGTTCAGAGGTGACTCCATGCCATGATTCTCTCACTGAACAAGGTAACCCCCGCTTTGTCTAGATTCCATAACAGAATTACAAGGAAAAAAAAAAAAACTTGAATTCTGTTTATAAAGCTCCAAGTATTTGTAATAAGATGAGTTTTAAACACAGAGGAGCATAGGTTACCGAGGGCCCTGCTCAATTGAGCTTACATTCCAAAGGGAGTCCGGTAATGGCACAAAAGTTGGCACAAGAGTTAAGGGTAGGATGTATTTCATGTTCGGAAAAAAGTTGGTTATTTAGCTAGTTTACAATGAAAGCTTAGTTTATTGGATGACACCGTTGCAGGAGAGGAAGCAGGATGGGTTATCAAGGTGCAGGGAGGGAAAATTATTAACAGTTTAATTTATGTCTTCCTAAGTGAATTTTCTGATGGAATGGATTCTGGGCGACAGTCTAACAAAGCAGGGAAGGGAGTTCCCTAGGAACAGTGCAGCCAAAGAGAAGTCTTGAAGGTGGGCATCAAAGGGGCGAGTACGAACAGAGGATAGACGCAGATCTTCGGCAGAATGTAGGGCCTGGATGGAACATACTTGATTGGTAGGAGCAGTGTTATGTAGAGATTTGTAAGCCGAAGAAAAGATATAGAACAACGTCCCCGGCATATAATCACTTGGAGAAGGAGAAAAGCTAATAAAAGATAAATTGCTTAACATTGCAATACAAACTGCTTTTATTCTGATAAAACAGACAAAAATCACGAGGTATATAATCCTCAAATAGTAAACTCACTTTTTGATTTAATACCGAAATCTGTATCCATGATGCCGGAAAAAAAAGGGGATGGGGAGGGGGAGAATTGTATGTACATTCAATGTTCTACATTGCTTTGTGACTGTGAATACAAGAAGTGTAAGATCAATTGCACACAAATATTAACTGAAAAGACATCAGTGACTAACCTGATGAGCATATGGTAGAGAAAACAATAGCCACCCCCTTCACTTAAACAGAAGTAGAAAAGTTCCAGCATTTTCAGGGTCAATGCAGATAAAAATTTACATAAACATCATCTTAAATGTTAAACATACAATAAACCCTGTTAAACTAATTTAGGGACAGAACATAAATATTCTTACATTCTCATCACTATCACAGCCACCCAAGCTGTAGACAGTCTGTAAGAGATCATAACAAATACATAAAGTGTGCAAGATGCAATAATATATACTATATGTGCAAACTGTCATGCATGGGTCTTAAAAAATTAGATATTGTCCCTGTCCTGTGAAATATTCCAAAATTACCCTCCAATTATACAGACACATTCAGACACATCCATATACATAGTTGATACCCCGAACAACCACTGCATGAATGCCCAGGGATGCCCGCTTCTGCAGGAAACGCAAGCAGTGGTAGAATTAATTACATAATATCACATATCTGCTGGTCCCAGAAGGCTCTCTCGACATGGCCAATTTCACATATTATTTTGTTAAATACTTGCATGCTTTCCTAAACAAAAAAGCAGAAGAATTACATTTAAAATTGTTTTACAATTAAGATCAGCGAAAATATGGAACTAAAGGCACAAACACATAGGCCTGTGATAAGAATTACCTCTAGGCTTTTTGCAGAAACCTCCATAAAGGCTGCACCACAAGAATTCGCAAGATTCTTGCCTTCTTCATACTTCACTTGACGTCTGAAAGGAAAAGATAAAGTTAGTATAACTTTAAAACAGGCACAATATTATAAAAAAAGTAAAAATATTAGCTGCTTTTTACACTATACATAGAATCCACAAGTAGGTCTGACATGCATATACAGGGCCGTCTTTAATATTGATTGGACCCTGGACAAGAATTTACTTGGGCCCCCTGGATCCCACCTTCCTACACCCTAGCATGCAATCATGCCCTTCACAACAACACACACAAAAATGTGCGGTGTGTGTGAGTATATATCAGCCAACCGACTACTTTGCCATATGAAACATTGGGAGGCTACTGCGCACGCGTGGCAAAACACTGTACTGCACCAATGAGCATCTCCTCTTAAAATGTATTGAATCAATGCATTTCTATGAGGAGTGTTCAGCATGAATGCCAGTGCTGCACCTTTAGTCGCCGTCTAATGAGTGGCCACTAGAGGTATTCCTAGGCAGTAATGTGTAAATACTGCCCTTTTCTGATAAGGCAGTGTTTACATTAAAAAGCCTGCAGTGACATGCTATAGACACCAGAACTACTATGTTTAGCTGTTGTGGTTCTGGTGACTATAGTGCCCCTTGAATATAGAGGGAAAAAAAGAAATAAAATGTCTGTATCATTATTCTAAAAATTATAAAAGAAAAAAAAACTATGCACATTCCTAGCTTGCTTTTTAGCACAACTTCTGACACAAACATTTTGTACTTTGCAGATTACTTTGTATATGTATAAAAAAAATATAAAAAGTAGTCTGTAAATTACAAAATATTTGTGTCAAAAGTTGTCCTTTTTAAAATTTTAGAATAATGACACAGACAAAAAGTCACACACACAGGCACAGGCAGACAGTCACACAAACAGTTACAACGAGACAGTCAGACATGTTCAGTTACAGGTAGGGTATCAGACATGCTCAGTTACAGGTAGGGTATCAGACACGCTCAGTTACAGGCAGTCAGTCACACACACACACACACATAGTTACAGGCAGACAGTCACACATGCTCAGTCACAGGCAGACAGTCACAGAGCCAAACACACATTTAAAGGCAGACAGTCACACACAGTTACAGGCACACAATCACAAACAGTTACAGGCAGACAGTCACACACACAGTCACAGGCACACAGACACTCATGCACGCCGATAAGCACACACACAAACTCAGTTAAAGGCAGATAGTCACACATACAGGCACACACAATGGCACAGCTACAGCGACACATACAATGGAGTCACACACAGTCAGACAGTCACACACACAGGTAGACTGTCACACAGACAGAAAGTCACACACATGCAGGCAGACAGTCACACACACACAGACAGTCACACACAAACATACAGGCAGTCAGTCACACAGACAGACAGTAACACAGGCAGGCAGACAGTCAGACACAGGTAGGCAGTCACACACACACACACACACACAGACACACAGTCACCACACACACACACACACACAGGCAGGCAGTCACCACACACACACACACACACAGGCAGGCAGACATTCTCACACACACACACACACACACACACACACAGGCAGGCAGACATTCTCACACACACACACACAGGAAGGCAGTCACACAAACAAGCAAACAGTCACACACAGGCAGGCAGTCCCACACACACAGGCAAACAGTCACACACAGGCAGTCAGACAGTCACACACACAAGCAGGCAGTAACAAAGAGTCCCAGACACACAGGCAGACAGTCCCACACACACAGTCAGCCAGACAGTCACGCACACACACACACAGGCATGCAGACACACAAACAGGCAGGTAAGCAGGCAGTCACACACACACAGGCAGTCACACACACACAGGCATGCAGACACACAGACAAACAGTCACACACAGGCAGGCAGTCACAGTCACACACACACACACACACACACAGGCAAACAGTCACAGATGTGCAGATAGGGATAGTACAGTACTAACCCCTCACCGCTTTCTCCAGCCACCCCTCACTAATCATCCCCCCTCCAACCACCCAGCCCTGTTACCCCCATAAAACAACCAAGTAATATATCTTCAGTGAATTACTGTAATTTAAATACTTACAGTTCTGAAGGCAGCAAGCTCAGGGATCAGTGCTCTGGGGCCTGGGCTCAGGGTTCACGGTGTGTGGCGCTGCTCTGCGGTTGAAGGAGACCAGGCTCACACTAGCATTGCCGTGACTCCGCCTCTGCATGACATCACGACGGCAACACGCGTACGCAAAAGGCAGGGGAGGTCGGGAGGAAGAGCAAGTAAGTCATTCGACTCCTTCACTTTGCAGGGATGCCACTCACATAGTGAAGGATCGGATCGGGGGGAGGGAGGCGAAAAAAATATTTTGCATATTATTGTGGGCAGCGGGGCTGAAGAGGCAGCTGCCTTGGGCCCCCCAGGAGCAACTAGGCCCGGGGCAGCTTCCCCTTTTGCCCCGTATTAAAGACGGCCCTGTGCATATATGCTACAACATTGTATTTAATACTAGCACAAGCATCTTTCAAGGTAGAGCAAAAAATCCCAAGGAAAAACAAAAAACACTTTTCCTCCATTATAAAGTCCCAAAGAAGGCTGCACTAGGTTAATGGATCTGCACGAGTGAACTAGTCTGTGAACCAAGATTATATTTCTGTAAACTGTTCATCTACTGATGTTCTGGGGAAGAAAATCCTTTATAGTCTGATAAGACAGCATCAATAATTGTAGCCCCTTCATCAAGTCTGCCTATGAATACCCTGAAGCTTCCACCATACCTGGTGTCCCCTAACAAAGGTATCACCTGATATGACTGCTCATGTATAATGCCACTTTGGTAGCATACGGACTCATGCCAGATTTAAGCTTGGTCCAAAGCACATACCAGGATGAAGCCAGCCCCTGGTGCATGTAGGGATTTTGTTAGCCTAGTAGATGGAGTAAAAATTTTTAAAAAATGCTTGTTCTTGGTATCTTCATACCAATCTCTTTTCTCTTTGTATGCATGTATTAACGGCACCCGCCATTCACTCATTTGCAGCTACTTGTTGAACAGAAAAGCCTCACACATCAGAGTCCCTAACACTACTCACGTCTAGCTGTTACCTCGTACAACAACTGGAAATGAACATGACATATATCATATTCATATTTGTAGACCCACTTGAGGCCCCTTCAATTCTAAACTCAGGTTTATTTGTGATCCGTGGCTAAGTTTGGACAGGGATAAGTGGCGTTTCAATTATTGCAAAACAATGCCACCAGTATCACTGCAGGAAAAGTGACTTATTACTAAATAGGATGGATTGTAAGAGCCAGCAACTATCCTAACAAGACTAGAAAGGGTCTTACCTGTGGTATTCATGGTTTAAAAATAAATGGAACCATTAAGTGAATGGAGGAAACAAGACACTCAACAGAACACACCTTTGAAGCGGAAGATCACTCTTATTCGCAACAAGGAGAACAGGTATCCTGGAAAACAGAGATTTCCTTTTTTTTTTGGTTATGAGAGGACTTTTGTGATTGTTGTGCACAAACTAGTTCAAGCATACCCAATCCTTGTCTAGGTAATTCCCCTTATGGCTAAAACATCCTTCATCTGGTTCTACCATTCAGTGCTTTTTGTTGCTATATCTACATTTATAATAAAATATTAGGGAACTGCAAAAGTGGGCTGCAAAACTAATAAGGGAAATTTTATTATTCACCTCAGGGGTGATATGGCGGCTCTATACAAATATATACATGGTCAATGCAAACAGTTGTTTGAAAATCTGTTCATTAACAAGACTGTCAATATGACAAGAAGTCATCATCTGAGACTTGAAGAAAATAAAATTCCATCTACCGTAAAGAAAATAGTTCTTTATAGGAAGAACAATAAAGATGTGAAATTATTTGCCAAAAGAGGCTTTTTTATCGGATTCTGTAGTGTAGAGAAAAAACATCTGGATATTTTTTTAAAATATTTTTTTTGGGGGAAAAACATAATATTATAGGGTATAATAATTAATGGAGGTGGTAAAAGTGTATTGATCCAATGAGATATGTTACTAATTTACACCAGGTATTTTACATATATATTCTCAAGGATGGACTCTACAGCATATTCTCACTTTAAAAGGGAAGCACTTTGCTATGCAGAGATTTGCATAAAGCTTTGGCCTGAGAAGCCCTGTCATGTTTTGGCAACCTTATATACTGACTGACTAAAGGATCTAGTGAAGCGGGAAGATATTTTAACCACTACTGCCAATTTAGTGGCAATGTCAGGATTCTAACATGACAACCAAAATATTGTTTCATTTATTCTGTTTTAATTATACAATACCAGTTTTTCACCACTGGTGGCCTCCCTAACCACTTGTCTAACAGTTCCTCTCACCTGGATAGCATGATTATTACTAACGCTATAAGACGCTACACCCTGCTTCACAAAGTTGCCTCTACATTGATTGAAGTTTGTGTTCTGATGCGGACAAGACTTCTGATCCTGGCTCCTACTGTGAGATCCTGCTATACTCTGATTACCATTGAACCATCCTGATTTATCCTACAAATCTGCTTTGTTTCCAGTCTGCTCTTTTCCAAGAAGTTGGACAACTTAACCTGATCATCAATAACAACCTGCTTTATTCCATCCTGTACTTTGTTACCTTTCTACCTTGTTTCAAACCTACTTTACAATTACCGGAATCAACACAACCAACCAGGATAAAACAAACTTTCCTATGATTTGCATCTATCCTGAATAATCCTATTACAAATATATGATAACTGCATTACTGCCTGCAAACAAAAGAGACTGATCACCTAAAAGTCTAATTAACCTGAATTCGTTAAACCTATGTTCTGTTAATTATATTCTGTTTCTTATAGGTTTTCCTTCTCTTTTATTTGCCTGTAATTTCACCTATAGGTTTCCCTGCCACATGATAACCTGCTTGGGGCATATTGCCTAGCTCTTTATTTCTGTTCTTTCTTTAAACTAACCTTTAATTCCGTTTATAGATTATTTTTCCTTCTACTTATAATTCCGCTTATAGGTTCTCCTTCTTCCTTATACCTATAATTCAGTTTTTATGGGTTCTCCTTCTTCCTTCAACCTATAATTTTGATTATAGGTTTTCCTCTTATTTATTTAACCCATCTGGGGCTTATTGCGTAAAATCTTTATTTCATAACCCTCGTTATACTTACCTGTAATCTCGTTTATAGGTTCAGTTTTCTCTCCCTTTTTTGTCTATACTATTTCCAGTCCCCTTTAAATCTTGCTACACTTATTATTTCAAGTCTAAAAGATGTCAAAGATTTCCAATAAAGAACCTAAAGTCAACCCCCGGCATAAGTCTTTTATCTTACCTGATCAGAACCATGGCAGGCAAGTTTATGTTAAATTTACGAAATCAAGGGATGAAGATATCTTATGCACATTTTTTGTTATTTCCATATAATGCACTTACGCACAGTGTCTATGGAGATCCACTAAATATTTGCACAGTTTTCGAGCAGTCTGAAAGCTGAGGGGAAAAAAAAGATAATTTGCCTATCTCAGATATTGTTAAATAAAAAGAAACATTTTGTAATATATATTTGGATATATCTGCATTTTCATGCAAGTGTGACATTGCCCTGGACCCAGAAGTACTGATGAGGCAAAAATGTATATGTCTGTTTTTTAAATAAACTTGCATCCACTTAACTTTTGATCTCAATAAACAATTCAAGAGACTTTATTAGAGTAAAAGAACGGGGAACTATTTTGGCCCAAGTTTTGCAATTTGTTCTTAAATGCACTAAACAGTGAATTAACCCTTTTGCATTTGTAATTTAAGTATTAGCACAATGTACAAGTATTTACACTGTGTGCACCAAGAAGCCCACGATCCTGCCTTAAAATTAAACAAAACATTTTTTTATTATTAAATAATGGGAAAAAAAACGTCAATCAAACAGCCAGAGAGCTAACAGAACTGGCAGGTAGGCTGTACTTGAGTGTGATTGCCTCCCCAACATGCATCTTCTCAAACCTCAGATAAGACAAGCATTCCTTCTGAAAGTTGTGCAGTGTGTGATAAATTACGCGGGATAAATTCTCAATGAAAGTCTCTTTCAGGAATAAAAAGGGAGAGGTTGCAAAGGCTGTGGTTGATGAGAAATGTGGAGTGTTCCTTTATCTACAATAGTATTTTACAGAGCTCCCAGCAGATGGCGCTATTGTATAGTTAAAAAAATAAATTCTACTGGTAATTAACTTACCTCCTTTCACATCCAATCGAATAAACTACAATGTATCCGTTTATGCCTAAAACAAAAGCATGGGGAACGATGGAATGTTCATTCTGGAAGAAAAATATAAGTCAGCCAACTTTACAAATACTTTAAAATGTTACTCAAAGGGTTAAAGTAACCCTTGCTGTGCCGGTTTTCAGACCCCCTCCTCCCTGTCAAAGTTTATCTAAATAAATAAAACATAATCTTACCCCTGTTCCAGCACAAGGCTAAGTTCTCTCCTCAACCTGATCCTACTCCAGTAACATCACTCCCCATAGTTGCCGGGGAAGAATGTAAGGGTAGGACGGACTGAGGGGAGGACAAGGGTGACATGGAGGGAGGCTGTGCCGCCAATGGACGTCTGTCGCCAGCATGCTGTGTGTGCTGATGCCAAATGTCCAATATGTGTAGAATTAACATTAATCACCCAGAATTCTTGTTCTAGGCTGTCTAATGACACCCCAATGACGGTGAAGGAGGTGGAGTTACACTTTGGCAGCAGAAGGGTTAAACTCTGTATACACAGTGTTTCACATTGAATGCAGCACATACAGACTCCAAGCACCATAATCACTGAACACCTTTAAATGTACACATTTACACAGATCCAATAAATTACTTACATGTCCTGCAGAATCCACAATATCCAGTTCAAATTCATCTTCTCCCAGAACTAAAGTTTTGTTCCAAGCTATGAAAAGACACAAATAAATAAAATAAAAACACGGCTTCCATTTTCTGCTAAGAGATCAATTAACTGAGGTTATGTAGAAACAGCAAGTCTACTATTATTACTGGCATTTATAGAAACATAGAATGTGACGGCAGATAAGAACCATTCGGCCCATCTAGTCTGCCCAATTTTCTAAAATACTTTTAATTAGTCCCTGGCCTTATCTTAAGTCTAGGATAGCCTTATGCCTATATCCCACGCATGCTTAACCCCTTAAGGACTGAGCCAAATGTACACGTTGTGATCAAAACAAAACAAAAAAACTGGAATTTGCGCTATATGTCTGTTCAGGCGTAATTCACCTCTTTCATATTATGTGCACTCACACTTATTATATATCATTTTATTCAGGGGAAACAGTGCTTTCATGTAACATCAAATATTTAGCTATGAAACATAATTTAATATCAATAAAATATAAAAAAATGGGGAAAAATAAGAATTCTAAAAAAATGTTTAGTTCTACGTGACATTCTAACTGTGAATGTCATAATATTGTTTGCTTTTACTGCAATAAAATACACATATTTGTATTCAGCAATGTCTCATGTTTAAAACAGTACCCCTATGTACAGGTTTTATGGTGTTTTAGGAAGTTACAGGGTCAAATGTAGCGTGTTACATTTTTCACATTGAACTTCACATTGAAACTCGCATTGAAATTCACCAGATTGGTTACGTTGCCTTTAAGACCGTATGGTAGCCCAGGAATGAGAATTATCCCCATGATGGCATACATTTGCAAAAGTAGACAACCCAAGGTATTGCAAATGGGGTATGTCCAGTCTTTTCTAGAAGCCACTTGGTCACAAAAAAGACTGAACATACCTCATTTGCAATACCTTGGGATGTCTACTATTGCAAATGGTATGCCATCATGGGGGTAAGTTTCATTCCTGGGCTATCGTACGGTCTCAAAGGCAACGTAACCAACCTGGCGAATTTCAATGTGAAAAAACTGAAACGCAAGCCTTATATTTGACTCTGTAACTTTTGAAAACACCATAAAACCTGTACATGAGGGGTGCTGTTATACTCAGGAGACTTCGCTGAACACAAATATTACTGTTTCAAAACAATAAAACGTATCACAACAATTATATCGTCAGTGTACGTGCCATTTGTGTGTGAAAAATGCAAAAAAAAATTCACTTTTTACTGACGATATCGTTGTAATATATTTTACACTAATATTTGTGTTCAGCGAAGTCTTCCGAGTAAAACAGTATCCCCCCCACGTCCCCCATGTACAGGTTTTACGGTGTCTTGGAAAGTTACAGGGTTAAATATAGTGCTAGCAAATTAAATTCCCTGAACTTTCGGCCTGTTGTCAGGCTGGTCCTGCAAATTGTAATTAATAAAATGACCTAATTATGTAAAATTATTACATAAATATATACGTAGAATTATTATATATATACGTGTGTATATATATGTATATAATTTTTTTAAATTATTTTTATTTATATATAGGTATATGTATAGCGATATATACAAAAATTTAAGTATATATGTTAGTATATATATAGTGATATATACGTATATACTTATGTATATAGATATATATATTATTTCATTCTACATGTATTTTGATATCAATATATATATTAATTTTAAAATACAGTTAGAACGAAATTACACATGTATATATATTTTTTATTTATTTATTTTTCATTATTTTTTTAAATTTTATTTTTTAACGTATTTACATATTTGTTTATTTTATATTATATAAAAATATATATATAATGATAATTATATATATATATTTTTAATCAATATCATTGTACGTGTATTTTGATATTAATATACAGTTGCAAGAAAAAGTATGTGAACCCTTTGGAATGATATGGATTTCTGCACAAATTGGTCATAAAATGTGATCTGATCATCATCTAAGTCACAACAATAGACAATCACAGTCTGCTTAAACTAATAACACACAAAGAATGAAATGTTGCCATGTTTTTATTGAACACACCATGTAAACATTCACAGTGCAGGTGGAAAAAGTATGTGAACCCTTGGATTTAATAACTGGTTGAACCTCCTTTGGCAGCAATAACTTCAACCAAACGTTTCCTGTAGTTGCAGATCAGACGTGCACAACGGTCAGGAGTAATTCTTGACCATTCCTCTTTACAGAGCTGTTTCAGTTCAGCAATATTCTTGGGATGTCTGGTGTGAATTGCTTTCTTGAGGTCATGCCACAGCATCTAAATCGGGTTGAGGTCAGGACTCTGACTGCGCCACTTCAGAATGCGTATTTTCTTCGGTTTAAGCCATTCTGTTCTTGATTTACTTCTATGCTTTCGGTCATTGTCCTGTTGCAACACCCATCTTCTGTTGAGCTTCAGCTGGTAGACAGATGGCCTTAAGTTCTGCTGCAAAATGTCTTGATAAACTTGGGAATTCATTTTTCCTTCGATGATAGCAATCCGTCCAGGCCCTGACGCAGCAAAGCAGCCCCAAACCATGATGCCCCCACCACCATACTTCACAGTTGGGATGAGGTTTTGATGGTGGTGTGCTGTGCCTTTTTTTCGCCACACATAGTGTTGTGTGTTTCTTCCAAACAACTTAACTTTTCATCTTAAGGTTTCATCTGTCCACAGAATATTTTGCCAGTACTGCTGTGGAACATCCAGGTGCTCTTGTGCAAACTGTAAACGTGGAGCAATGTTTTGTTTGGACAGCAGTGGCTTCCTCTGTGGTATCCTCCCATGAAATCCATTCTTGTTTAGTGTTTTACGTATTGTAGATTCGCTAACAGGGATGTTAGCATTTGCCAGTGACTTTTGTAAGTCTTTAGCTGACACTCTAGGATTCTTCTTCACCTCATTGAGCAGTCAGTGCTGTGCTCTTGCAGTCATCTTTACAGGACGGCCACTCCTAGGGAGAGTAGCAGCAGTGCTGAACTTTCTCCATTTATAGACAATTTGTCTTACCGTGGACTGATGAATAGCAAGGCTTTTGGAGATACTTTTATAACCCTTTCCAGCTTTATGCAAGTCAACAATTCTTAATCGTAGGTCTTCTGAGAGCTCTTTTGTGCAAGGCATCATTCACATCAGACAATGCTTCTTGTGAAAAGCAAACCCAGAACTGGTGTGTGTTTTTTATAGGGCAGGGCAGCTGTAACCAACACCTCCAATCTCATCTCATTGATTGGACTCCAGTTGGCTGACATCTCACTCCAATTAGCTCTTGGAGATGCCATTAGTCTAGGGGTTCACATACTTTTTCCACCTGCACTGTGAATGTTTACATGGTGTGTTCAATAAAAACATGGCAACATTTCATTCTTTGTGTTTTATTAGTTTAAGCAGACTGTGATTGTCTATTGTTGTGACTTAGATGATGATCAGATCACATTTTATGACCAATTTGTGCAGAAATCCATATCATTCCAAAGGGTTCACATACTTTTTCTTGCAACTGTATATAATAAATATATATATGATCTAAGTATATATTATTTAATTTTACACTGTTTTAAAATTAGGCACTCCCCCTGCTGATAATGCTTTGGACGGCTATGCTGTCCATGTGATCGCGAGGTCCTCGCAAGGACCTCGCGATCACATGGCCCAGAGGGGCTGAAGAGGAAGGAGGGGGATTCCCTGGGCTCCCAGGTGAGTCCCCATACCACGATCGCCAGCGACTTGGTAAGTACATAAGATCGCGGGGACGTTCTATGCCGCCCTGCGGCGTTTAGAGCCACTTCCTTAAGGACGGCATAGAACGCCCTGCGGTCTTAAGGGGTTAAACTCCCTCACTATGCTAACCTCTATTACTTCAGCTAGAAGGCTATTCCATGCATCCACTACCCTCTCAGTAAAGTAATACTTCCTGAAATTATTTTTAAACCTTTGTCCCTCTAATTTAAGACTATGTCCTCTTGTTGTGGTAGTTTTTCTTCTTTTAAATATACTCTCCTTTATGTATTTAAGTGTTTCTATTATATCCCCCCTGTCTCGTCTTTCCTCCAAGCTATATATGTTAAGATCCTTTAATCTTTCCTGGTAAGTTTTATCCTGCAATCCATGAACCAGTTTAGTAGCCATTCTCTGAACGCTTTCCAAAGTATCAATATCCTTCTGGAGATACGGTCTCCAGTACTGTGTACAATACTCCAAATGAGGTCTCATCCTTGTTCTGAGCACTTCTCTCTTTCTACTGCTAATACTTCTCCCTATACAACCAAGCATTCTGCTAGCATTTCCTGCTGCTCTATTACATTGTCTGCCTACCTTTAAATCATCAGAAATAATCACCCCTAAATCCCTTTCCTCATATGTTGAGGTTAGTAGGGTATTAAATATCTTATACTCTGCTCTTGAGATTTTATGACCAAGATGCATTATCTTGCACTTATCCACATTAAATGTCAGTTGCCACAGCTATGACAATATATCTAATTTACCTAAATCATTTGCCATTTGGCTCATCCCTCCTGGAACATCAACCCTGTTGCAAAATTTAGTATCATCAGCAAAAAGACATACCTTACCATCAAAACCTTCTGTAATATCACTAATAAAAATATTAAAGAGAATGGGCCCAAGTACAGATCCCTGAGGTACCCCACTGGTAACTAGACCTTGCTTCGAATATACTCCATTGACTACAACCCTCTGTTGCCTGTCACTCAGCCACTGCCTAACCTATTCAACAATATTGGAATCCAAACTTAAAGATTGCAGTTTATTGATAAGCCTTCTATGTGGAACAGTGTCAAAAGTCTTACTGAAATCTAGGTAAGCAATGTCAACTGCACCACCCCGATCTATTATTTTAGTTACCCAATCAAAAAAAAAAAATAAGATTAGTTTGGCATTACTCCATGAAGTAAACCCATGTTGTCTCTGATCTTGAAATCCATGTGATTTTAGATGTTCAACAATCCTACCCTTTAACATGGTTTCCGTTACTGTTATAGTGGTTTCCCACTACTGAAGTAAGGCTTACTGGCCTATAGTTGCCCTACTCCTCCCTACTACCTTTCTTGTGAATTGGTACAACATTTGCTAATTTCCAATCTTCTGGGACTACTCCTGTTAACAATGATTGGTTAAATAAATCTGTTAATGGTTTTGCTGGTACACTACTAAGCTCTTTTAATAACTTTGGGTGTATTCCATCAGGTCCCATTGACTTATTTGTCTTTACTTTTGACAGTTAAAATAGAACCTCTTCCTCTGTAAACTCATATGTAACAAATGACCCATTTGTCATTTTTCCTAACTTTCCTTCATTTTCATCTGTAAATACTGCACAAAAATATTCATTGAGGCAATCAGCTAGACCTGTATCCTCTTCTACATACCTATCTTCTTTTGTTTTTAATCTAACTAATCCTTGTTTTACTTTCCTTTTCTCATTTATGTATCTAAAAAATGTTTTATCCCCCTTTCTTACCTACTCTGCTATTTTCTCTTCTGTGTGTGATTTGGAAGCTCTTATAACTTGCTTAGCCTCTTTCTGCCTGATCTTATAGATCTGCCTGTCTACCTTAGTCTGTTTTTTTTTATAATTAATAAATGCTAACCTTTTGTTTTTTACTATTTTGGCCACTTCTGCAAAGTATCACAGTGGTGTCTTAATTTTTCTGCTCTTCTTGATAAGCATAATGGAATTTTATGTTGCTTTCAAAAGTGTAACTTTTAAATAATCCTATTTATCTTGGACTCCATTTAAATTGCTCCAGTCTGATGACTCCTTTACGCATATTCTAATTTTAAAAAGTCTGTTTTTCTAAAATCTTAAACTTTTGTTTTTGTGTGGTGTGACTCAGTCACTGTTCTTATATTATACCACACTGACTGATGATCACTGGATCCTAAACTTTCACCTACAGTAATATCTGATACCAAATCTCCATTTGTTAACACTAAATCTAGTATGGCCTCCTTACGAGTTGGCTCCTCAACGACTTGCTTTAGAGACAATCCCAGTAGGGAGTTTAGAATATGTGTGCTCCTGGTACAAGCAGCTATTTTGGTTTTCCAGTTCACATCCGGAAGATTAAAGTCACCCATGATGATAACTTCCCCTTTCATTGTCATTTTAGCAATTTCTTTAACTAGTAGATTGTCTTCTATTTGGCCAGGGGGCCTGTAAATCGATTTATAAAGCGCCAATATATTCTGTAGTGTTGAATTGTAGCAATCAGCATAAATATTCAATTTGTCTCCATGGTAACCGCTTCACTTTTAGAACTTTGCTCAAGAACTAAACTTTAAATAATCTCTTTCGTGTCATTTTTTTTACCTTTGTAAATATATGTAACTGATAATTAAACTAATATAAATCTATTTTGGATTAATAGCAAATACTATAAAAATGCAGGACTTACTCATTTTGAAGGAAGACTCGTATTCCACAGGGAACTCACCAAAAACAAAGTGGACAGCCAATGATGATTTACCTGTGGGATACACAAGACTATAGTAACAAAAATATTAAATTACCCTCTTGTTGTGTTCAGCCATTTTGCAATGAGTATGGAAAGTTATCAATCAGGATTTGCACCCTTCTGACCAGAAGCCCAGTCCACTCTTGCAAGGCACAGCAGCCAGGTATAAATGGGGCCATGGTGATTGGCTTGGTAATTTTATTTGGGAGGAAGGGAATGTTTCAAGTAAGTGGAGTTATTCAATAAACTTGGGGTGCATATTTTAGGGCCAAATAGATTAATTGGCTGTTTAAAATTTGCAACTTTCTTAAAGGACCACTATAGTGCCAGGAAAACAAACTCATTTTCCTGGCACTATAGTGCCCTGAGGGTGCCTCATCCCTTAGGGTCCCACTCCCGCAGGGCTGAAGGGGAAGGAAGGAGGTTAAAAACTTACCTTTCTCCAGCGCCGGGCTCCCTCCTCCTCCATCGGTCGTCATCGGCTGAATGCGCATGCGCGGCAATCAGCCAGTCCATAGGAAAGCATTCTCAATGCTTTCCTATGGACGCTGGCGTCTTCTCACTGTGAAAATCACAGTGAGAAGCGCGGAAGCGCCTCTAGCGGCTGTCAATAAGACAGCCACTAGAGGCTGGATTAACCCATATGTAAACATAGCAGTTTCAATGAAACTGCTATGTTTACAGCAGGCAGGGTTAACCCTAGAGGGACCTGGCACCCAGACCACTTAATTGAGCTGAAGTGGTCTGGGTGCCTATAGTGGTCCTTTAACAATGCACCATTGCTAGTTTAGTAAGTAACCCAGACAAATAAATAAAATCACATTCACGTTTAATCACTAAACTGATAACTGTTGGGAATTCAGCGTGAATTAAATGCATTTTATGGCACTATGTCTCGAATTGTGTATTTTGCTAATGTATATCCGGTTCTGGAGAGTCACATGACTTTAAGAGCCCCCAGGGCGGGAGTAACCGTCATGTGACTTTGAGCCTAGGACATCAACTAGGATGTGAGAATCATAAATTCGAATGATCCCATCCATCATTCTTATGACAAGAATGAGGAGGGACCCCAGAAAGTTAATCTGCCATTGGCCCCTGTTGGATCTTTTTCACTCTTTTCGTGCCACTGCCCTTAAATTGAGCTGGCAAATTTAGGCTCCTGCTGAGTCAAGCAAGACTTCTATGTATGTGTATTCATACTGATAATACTGCAATAGTCTGTTCCTATCCCTGTTCTGTTTTTTTGGGGGGTTTTTTACAACGTAAGCCCTGAAGTCTATTTAGAGAAGAGGAGTGCTACCTTAAAGGGACACTCTACTGCCCGAATAAAAATAAATCACTGTTTAATATATATATATATATACCACAAATTAAAACATTGATGGATTTAAATATGCTTTTTTTCAATGGGGTATATATAAAAACATCTTGTAAAAGTGTCGGTTCTCTTGTTTGCTGCCTTTGCCAGCCCTTCCCTTCTAACCCTGCCCAGACTATATGTGGCTGTCCAATCACAGACTTACTAATGCAGCTCAAAGAAAAGTCTTTCCAAGGCAGGTGCTATGGGCAATTGCTGCCTCTTGAGTTTAGGTCCACTGAGCTAACCAAGTAACAGGACCAGTTGTCTGTTTGAAAATCAGGGGGTGATACCATGTTTATTAACCCCTTAAGGACGCCGGACTGAAATTTTCCAGCATTGCAGTCCTCCCCTTAAGGACGCAGGACGCAGTCCGTCCTTTACTAAAATTAACCCCGGTGTCCGAGGCAGTCAGCAGGAATCAGTCTCACTGTTCCAGCCCATTTATTCGCTCTGAAAGGTGGGCTATCATAGTTCTATACCCATCAGATTTCTATACCTACGTCACTTCCAGTGCACTTATGTCACCGGAAGGAAGGTGACAGCAGTGTGGATGCACAATAGCACAGCTGTCAGGTATAGTAATCTGATGGTGGCAGTGCGATCATGCGAGTGGCCACCTTGTCACAAGAAGTGACGCAAGATCAGCTGGCCCTGTAACATCTGTCACATATGCGTGTACATATGTACAGCGCGTTAGCGCGGCACATCCATCAGATTTGTATACCGCGGGTCATACAGAGGATTATGAGGTTATATTGGGGATTATGGGATGATACATGAGATTATGGAGGGTTATAGGGTGATGCATGAGATTTTGGGATGATGCAGGGGATTATGGACAGTTATAAAGTGATGGGATTATGGGGGGTATAGGGTGATACAGGGGATTACAGAGGGTTATAGAGTGATACATGGGATTTTGGGATTATACAGGGGGTTACGCAGGATTATAGGGTGATACATGGGATTATGGGGTGATACAGGGAATTATGGGAGGTTATGTGGTGATACAGGGGATTATGAGGTGATACAGAGGGTTGTGGGGGTGATGGAGTGATGCAGGGGATGTGAGTGCCAGTATATATATGTGAGTGTATGTGTATCTGTAAGTATCAGTGTATATATGTGATTGTATGTGTATCTGTGAGTTTGTATCTGTGAGTGTCTTTGTATCTGTGTCAGTGTGTACATGTGAGCGTCTGTGTATCTGTGAGGATCTATGTGTGTGTGTGCCTGTGTGTGTGTGCCAGTGTCTGTGTATCTGTGAGTGTCAGTGTGTATATGTGAGTGTCTGTGCATCTATGAGCATGTGTGTGGATCTATGTGTGTGTGTGCCAGTGTCTGTGTATCTGTGAGTGTCAGTGTGTATATGTGAGTGTCTGTGCATCTGTGAGCATGTGTGTGGATCTATGTGTGTGTGTCAGTGTGTGTATCTGTGAGTGTATGTGTATCTGTGAGTGTCAGTGTGTATCTGTGAGTGTCAGTGTATGTATCTGTATCTGAGAGTCAGTGTGTATCAGTGAGTATGTGCGTGTCTAAGTAATAATAATAATAACAAAGTATTTAACCAGGAAAAATACATTCAGACTACTCTGGTTTTCATGTACGTCCTGGGGATGTCACCTTAGCCCAACATCCAGTAGCCAGTTAATGTTCAATAAAAAACAGTTTGTATAATTGAACTCTCTGTTTTTGTGTTCTTCATTTAAAACAAAAGATGTTAACGAGTTCGGACAACTGTATGAGTTGTTTTTTCTAAACTTAAACCTCAGTATTCAGGTTTAATTGCCGTGTTGGCACTTTAAGGAAAAAAATGTTGGTTTGTATTGTGGGTTGGGCACTCGGGCTCAAAAATGTTCGCCATCAATGGTCTAGGTCATACATTGGGCATATTGTTTTACTCAGGAGATGTAACTGAGCATAATTTTGGGGGATTTCATGACAGTGGCACATATCAAGTATAAGAAATACTCAGCAAAAATGCAACATGTATGTAAAAATGAAATTTATTTTCCCCATCACCACAAACATTTACATAAATTGGTGAAAAAATGGTGACAAGTTAAGGCAGATAATACGCCATATAAGATACCCCGGGGTGTCTGCTTTATCAAAAGGAAGCCCTTTGTGGAGTTATTTCAACAGTCAAACTGCTATAATACCCCAAAATGAGACATAGGCCCATTAAATCCACCTATAAAAATTCTTACTATAGAAACTGAAATAGCCTTGTCTCTTATATGGCACTGTAGCTTCACAGAATAGGGCCAAAGGCATACAATGGGTATATCGTTATACTCAGAAGATGTAGCTGAACACAATATGGGGTTCTGTGCAGGAATAGCACACGCCAGCTTTACGAAATACACATTCCAAAATCCTTGTTATACGTGTATATGCCAACATAGAGAAAAAAAACTAAATTTTACTCCAATATTTAGCAGAGTTTGGCGATGAAATGGCTACATTTAAAAAGTGAGAAAATAACCTTAGGTAAATAGCCTGTGATGTCTACTTTATATAAATATATACTTTTGTGTGGCATTTTCTTTTCTGTGATGGCTACTAAACCTACAAGACAAACATACCAACTTCTAAAATTGTTTCACATTGGAATTTTATTTTTGTCCTTGTATTTTGTGACCTGTAACTTTCAAAATAAGCTGAAATCCTATACATATTATGGGTTTTTAGGGGTTAATAAAAGTGCTGATTTCTTTTTAAAATCTATTTGAAAATATTTTAAATTTTTTGTAATAGTGCAGATATAACATTTCTATTTTTGAAACTTTAACATTATTTAGGCTTTTGGACAACCTACCCCCCCCCACCAAAATAATAATAGATATATGTTTATATATAAAAAAAAACAACAACTTCTGTTTATAGATTAAATTAAATTGCTGAATAATAAACTAAACTGAGAACTGAGCATGTTGTAGAACATCCGGCAGGTGTAAAGTGTTTACATGGAGCAGCCATTGCAAGTAACGCCCGATATATTAACAACCCCCCCCCCCGTCACTAACTGCGCAATTTATAGCAAGCGACTGCCCCCAGGGAACCCCCAACCCATTTCACGGCCACTTACCTACTCCGGGGGCTCCGAGCACAACGATCCTGCGGCGTTTAACCATCGCCATACCTTGTGGAGAACCGCGGAGCTAGCTCAAACCCCGCCCCCCTCCTCAACATTGACCAATCAGCAGGCGCGCCGACCGCCTGCGCGGGGCTCTCACCGGCTTCTGCGCAGGGCAGGAAAGCAGGGGGCACAGGGAGGGCCAGCAGCTCATTAGCGTCATTAAAGTGTTCCCGCATGTTTTTAGGAGACTGAGGCGGGCAGGGGGAGAAGGGAGACGGCGCGAGAAGGAGAACTGGACTGTGAGCCTTTCACTCTCTCTGACCAGTCTCTACTTGTCTCTTTAATAGGATGGAGGGACATTAAAAAGTGCATTAATCATCTATTTAATACAGATGAAGGACAGTGACTGGGAGGAGAGGAGAAAGGAAACTTGGATAGATAAACTAAAGGGGGAAATTCCAAAAGGGGAAGGGGGGTGAAATGGAAAAATGCATTCACACCCAAACAATATCACACAACCTGCATGCACAAACTAACACTTCACAAACAAACACAATCAGCAGCACATTTACATACTAACACTCCACAAAAATAAATCATACATTCACATACTGACCCTCCACAGAAATGCACCCCACATTCATTAATTGACACTCCACAAAAGTACACCCTTCATTCACATACTGATGCTTCATGGAAATGTACCTCACATTCACACACTGTCATTCTACAGAACCCACCCCACATTCAGACTGATGCTTCAATGAAATATACCTTACTTTCACAATCCACAGAAATACGTCCTACATTCACAGACTGCCACTCGCATAAACATACACTACATCTTACACTGACACTTCATTGAAATACATTACTCACGAGGCCAGTGCTAACTTAAAGGGACACTATAGGTGCTAGGAATACATATCTGTATTCCTGGGACTATAGCTGCCTCGCCTTCACTGGTCAATAAAGAATTAAAAACCCTTTATTTACTTACCTGATCCCAGCACCGATGTCCCTTATATTTTTGTAGCACTGTCAGGTTTTTTTTTTTAAATGGGGACTCCAAGTTCCATACCCACTACAGTGGTTACGGTTCCAAGAGTGGCCTTGATGGATCACAATGTAAACAGCCAAACTATTTGCCAACAGTTAGACTTCTTTCCTGGCTTCACCAAGACCCATTTCCTATCTATATGTAACCTGCAGCTCTCTGCAATGAGCTAGTCGCTTGCTGGATTTGAAAATGATCTGAAAAGTACAGATGCTAACGGACTAAAGAATACATATACAGGGTTACTTACTAAAGTGAGAATTGTTGTTAATTCTAAGTGTATTTCAAATTTAAGGTGGAAGTAGACAAACCGGTAGCATAGTGGACTTTTTTCAAGTCCAGCTACTTTAGCCTTACATTTGAAACTCACTTTGAATTCACGACAACTCGCACTTTTGTAAATGACCTTGAACATGTCTTTAATGCAACCTGTAGAATGGTTTTCTCTATTTTAAACATTATTCATGGTATGTAACTTTAACAGGGACACATTGTTTTGCCCAATTACTTCTCATCAAAGTCCTGAAATTTTGAGTTAATAGACTAGAATCGCTCCACCTATCCTGATCGGGCTATCATGATTAATACCTCATACATGTAGCCAAATTGCAAACAGTTTTACATATTAACTGGGGTCCACTAGGATGCCAGTCACTTCTACCCGTGAGATGCAAAAGCTGCAGCATGGAGCTTTCATTAGCTCTCCTGAGCAGAGCCACCTCATTGGCTGAAAGCATCAGCAGATTGTTCTCAGACAATGAGGTGCACCACCGAGTTTAGCTGTATGCAAACAGCGGTCTGGCAATCTGTTCATTACTGTACATGGTACAAGAGGTCATCTTTTGCCACTTGAAGAAAGGAAATTGTGCCTAAAGCAGAGAAAAGAGGTTGTCTTATCAGAATATGTAGAGATTTTTTTTATAAAAGACTTTGTATACATTTTTTTATTTTTGGGGGGAAAAACCAGAATATTACAGGGTATAGTAATTATTGTAGGTAGTAACAGCATATTGACAACCGAAAATGTGGACAGTGTTTAAGATGAAAAACAAGTGTATACACAACTGATATTATGCATGTTAACAACCAAGCAGCATTCATCCAAAAAGTAATATATAATTCAAACAAACCAGAAAAAAGTGTTGCACTTACGATGATACTTAATAATGTTTCTGAAAACAATCAGCGAAAATAACAAAAATATTGAGTGCAGACCATCTGATTCAACCAAAAAATAATTTAAATACACATGTATAGTGATTACACTTACCAGAGCCCTATCAACCCTGGCTCTGGGGAGAGAAGCTCCTTTTGAGAGAGAATGGACCCCACAGCTTGATACCCACAATATGGTAATAAGATATTCTTGAGCATAAAAATATGGATGATACAAAACCAGAAAACCCTCAATGGCACAGTATCACAACAAATTTTATTAATATACAGATTAAAATCTGCTTACATTTATACAGGGGTGGACATACCAAATTAGTAATCCCACACACACATGAATGACAGTGACAAATGCTGGCTTTTTCCCAGGGTACTTCTGTGTGGCTCCGAACCTTAGCTCCACCTCCCAATTATTCCCCCCCGCCCCCCTGTGATGAGTTTTGTCTCCGTTTGTCAGACAACACCAGGAGAAGAAAGATAATGTATACAATTCATACATTTCCCACTTTTTATATAAAAAAAATAAAATATAGGCTGCTCTACCAAGGATTCCTGGCAACTGGACAGTTTGAAATATTCACTTTCAGATGATTATTCATGTTATTAAGCCGATAAGCATGTTAAAAGATTGGGCTGCCTTATAAACTTTCTGTTTTACTCTTATTACCAAATAATTCTTGATTTGCAAAATTGTATTTCCCGTGCAGATAGGTTAAATTCTGTGTTTTATTGGGTTTGCTTGACATTCAATCTGTCAATATGCATCCAATAATCAAATTGTCCTTAAAAAATATTTAGAAAGTCCTTTCCAATACTGTAAAAAGAATGAATTAAGGCAAGAGCTGAAATGATTCCTGTCTGTCTGGACAACTCTGCAGTTATAATGTGATGTAGGAGAAATGGTGTAAATGGGATAAGCCAAGTAGAGCATCTTATACATCAGAATAGATTATTCTCATAAAAGAATATTTCTCATCAATTGTTCACTTTTTAAAAAGTTCATTACATTTCATCAAACATTATGGTGTATATTGATTTTTATTTATCTGGATGACCAACTACTCCTCAGCCTAACTTGCCTGCTGCAAGTTACAATAACTGTAAACTATCGGAAAGAAAAACCAAGAAGTGAGAATTTGATTGCAGTTGTCCTTTGTGTCATATCAAGTTAAAGTAAAGTTCATTTATAGGTTAGGAAGCCGTTTATGGTCTTTCTTTGAATTTCGCTTTCTCTTCTTACTGAGAAAATTTTCCAGCTTCCCTTGTTTCTTCAGTTCTTGATATTTGTCAGCAAGTTCCAGTTTGTGAAGGTCACCTAATGATAAAGACAAAAAAACAAAAGTTTTACCTGCGGTACCATTATCATATTTCCTTTATTATTGAGCAATATTAGGTGTTAAAGGAACACTCCAAGCAGTGCTCTGGCACTCCCCATTCTAAGGAGTCAACCAAGTAATTTTAAAACAGTTGGACTTAATACTTGGGTCTACTTTGTCACTCCTCTCCTCCACTCCAGCCAACAGAAGTGTTTTTCACAGACCTTTTAGCTCAGGAACATTACTAAAGTTCCCAAGTAAGCGCTTCCAACTCTCACTGAGCTGTAGAGAAAGCCGGGAACTCCAGTTAAGAAGTCAAACCATTCTAAAAACGGTTTGACCACTTGGGGTGGCGCCAGCGCGCTCATTGCACCATAACCACTGCAGAGCAAATAGTTCCTTTAAATTAATTGCTTCCATTCCAATTTCCCCATCATCTATTCACACAGAACAAATGCTTTGCAGCACTCACCTTTCTTTAAGTAGAAAGGCTTCTTCCCTTGTTGAGCCTTCTCTCTCTGTTGTCTCTTAAACTCTAGCTCTCTCTCCCTTAGCTTTTGTTGTTTCTGATTGGCTCTCTCTTGTTGATCCTGAGAAGATATAGTATGATGGCTGAGTACACGCTTGACACAAATTCCATCTCTCACCTCTGAAGAACCCTTCTTACCATTCTTAGTAAGAGTTGCTCTAGCTTTTCCTTAACTTCTGTATTCCGAACCTTTCTCAGCTTCTTTTGAACAATCTGAAAGAAAAAAATATTATATTCTACAAGTCCCATCATTCCTTCATTGTAAATTTACAGATACTGAAAATCTTGGAAACTCTGGGAAATCCCAATATCATTTCACCTAAGTTAAATGAAAAAAACAAAAAACACAGTATTGAGTCAAAAAGAGGATGTATGCAGGGCCGGATTAACATAGGGGCTGGTGGAGCTGCAGCTCCAGGCCCATGGAATAGGCCCATTGATTTAAAAAAAAAAATAATATATATATTTTTTTTTTTAACATTTTTTTTTTTTCACATACTACTCTTTTTATTGACACAGCCAGTATTTGAGGCTGCCTGGCTGGTGCCAATATTGCAGTGATACTGGCAATATAAATGCTGGTATTTTTCTCAGTAAAAATGGAGATTACTCTGCAATACCAGCACTGGCCAGTAGGGGTCGCTGCATGTGGAGACAGGCAGGGATAGGAAGTTCCAGCAAATCCCTTTCTGCCTATCTATACTCACTGATCTGCAGGGGTGCAGCTACAGAGAGTCCAGACAGCAACTCCAACCCTGCAGAGACAGCCTACAGCTCAGGGAAGTAAGGGATGGGGGAAAGGCTGCAAGGGACATTGGGAGACATTATTGCAGACACTGAGACACTAAGGGACATTGGGAGACATTATGGCACAGACACATGGGGACACAGTGTCCCTGGTGTCTCAGTGCCCCCTAGTCTTCCAGTGACCCCTAGTCTCCCAGTGCCCCCAGTCTGCCAGTGTCTCACTGTCCCCATGTCTCCTAGTGCCTCCATGTCTCTCAGTGCCTCAAGTGTCACAATGTTCCCAAGCTAGTGTCCCTAGTGTCTGTGGCCCTGGTGTCTGTGTCCCCATGTCTCCCAGTGCCCCCATGTCTCAATGTCCCCCAGCCAATGTCTCTAGTATCTTTGTCCCTGGTGTCTGTGTCCCCATGTCTTCAAGGGTCCCCTATTTTCGCATTGTCCCCATGTGTCCCAGCCAGAGTCCCCATGTCTCCCAGTGTCACTGGTGTCTCCGTGTCACTAGGTCTCCCCGTCTTCCTAGTGACATGGGGACTCTGGGATACATGGGGACACAGGGAGACATGGGGCATTGAGACACTGATACATAGGATCACTGGGAGACCTGGGGACACTACACTAGGGGACACTGGGAGACATGGGGCACTGAGACCTGGAGTAATCGACACATGAGGGCACTCAGTCATGAGGTCACTGGGAGACATGGGGGCACTGGGAGGAATCCATCTATACAGCAGATTTAAACTAAGTAGTTTTTTTTGGTGATTTTACAGCATTTTCTATAATGTCACTCCTTGTGATTTACATCATGTCATGTCACCCATACATATTTAATTATGCAAATTAGCAAGGACGGTATGTTTTTCCAAGAAAGGTGGCAACCCTAACTACTTTTCACATACTCTTACTTAAGTATGGAAACTTAAGAGGGATGTATGGGAACAAAACGTGTGTGGACTGGCTGACAATGAATATAGTTAAAGGGACACTATAGTCACCAGAACAACTACAGTTTATTGTATTTGTTCTGGTGAGTAGAATCATTACCTTCAGGATTTTTGCTGTAAACACGGTCTTTTCAGAGAAAATGCAGTGTTTACATTACAGCCTAGGGATAACTTCACTGGCCACTCCTCAGATGGCTGTTAGAGATTCTTCCTGGGTCATGGCTGCCTAAAATGCATCCAAACATTCAGTGTCTCCTCCCTCTGCATGCAGACACTGAACTTTCCTCATAGAGATTCATTGATTAAATTCATCTATATAAGGAGATGCTGATTGGCCAGGGCTGTGCTTGAATCATGCTGGCTCTGACCCTGATCTGCCTCTTTGTCAGTCTCAGCCAATCCTATGGGGAAGCACTGTGATTGGATCAGGCCACCACTTCTAATGATGTCAGCAGACTGCTTGTTTTTATGAGTCTAACAGCATGCAGAGTTACAGCTTCAGGCTTGAATATAGTAGGATATTGCTATATTTATGGAAGCATGAGGGGCCCAGGGGGTGGTGTTAACACTATAGGGTCATGAATTAATGTTTGTGTTCCTGACCCTATAGTGATCCTTTAAGGTAATGCTGACTTTTTATCTCTCTAACACTGTGGCATGTTCCCTTTCTTCTACACTCACTACATACAGCTTTTCTCTGTCCCAGACCATATACCAGGAGCTTCTGCCTGCTAGTAAGAAGGTCCTTAGAAAGCGTTGAGTGAGCGCATCATTAGATGCATTTATGCCAAGCTCAGGGTGCTGTCTGCATAGTATGCCCTTAGTTGGCTAGCTGCATGATTGGCAGGCAGCCTGACATGCATTCATGCCAGGCTGGCCTTCTAATTCTTTGAGCAGACATGTCCTCTTTTTGGGCATGTTCGCCCCTTTTGGCAGGTTACGTGATTTGTGTCAGTGGCACACCCGTTTACCATGCCCATTGACTTCCTGCTTGACTGGACACTGCTGTTAGGGGTTATAGATTTACTTGAAAGATGAAAACATAAATTAGAGAGAGATTAGCCTAGGGTATGTGTTTTCTTACAGCTGCTGTTTTCTTTCTCTCCAGCACCATTTCCATCAGATACATGATGCTTGGGAGTGTTTTACTGTTTTTGGTCGATATGATTCTGTAATTAGGCCCGTCATAATTGTTAGCACCAGGCCCACTGGGCTCTTAATCTGGCCCTGGATGTATGATGTGCATGCACGGAGCACATTATCCCCACTCGGTGGCACGTCAGCGCTAGGTTAATGGATGCGTGAAGCATATTATCAGCCGTAGGTTAATGGAGGATGCATGAAGCATATCAGCAGCGCTAGGATAATTGAACATGTGTAAAGCATATAATCAGCGCTAGGATAGTGGCCACAAATTACTCCTTCTCTTTGGTGGAAAATTATTCTATCAGGGAGCATGTGAAGGGTGGGGAGTTAAGGGCAGTAATTGTATTTTATATAGAAAAGGCACAATGCACAGCAACACAGGATAAGCCAAGACCCTTTTTTTTTTTTTTTTTTTTAAACGTTGCCTTATGTGGTTTATCATTAGCCTGGGTGGCTCTTGATCGAATTTCAGGTCACCCTGAAAGGGGTGAGTTAATACAAGAAAAAAGGGATTTGGATTCTGAAAATCAGACGTTTAAACGATCTTAAAGGGTTACTCCAACCACCATGAAACACTGCTCATACTGAAATATATGCACTTCAATGCTGGTGGCTAGTTGCACTCCCCTCCCCCCCCAATGCACACTGCATGCTGGCAAGAGACGTAAAAATCTTCCCCTTGCACTTTCCTCTTCCTCCCAGGGTGTGCTCCTTCCCATCTCCCTTAATTGCACATTGGTTTGTTTACATAAAATATGAATGAAAACAAAAATCATATTCCCCATTCTCTCCCTCCCTTTGTTGACCTGGAGCTCATGCATGCACTCTGAGCCTGCAATTGGTCCAATTGAAGCATGTGAATTTTAATTTTTTTTTTATAGGTTTTGATCCAAACAGAGAGGGGGGACCTTCCACATAGAGCTCAATAGATCAAATTACAGAAAGGTCCCCCCGCCTCCAAAGGTTTAAAAGAACACTATAGTCACCTTAACAACTTTAGCTTGAAGCAGTTTTAGTGTATAGATCATGCTTCTCAGGTTTTACTGCTCAATTCACTGCCATTTAGGAGTTAAATCACTTTGTTTCTGTTAATGCAGCCCTTTTCACACCTCCCCTGGCTCTGATTTACACAGCCTGCATGAAATAAAATCAGATGTAATTTACCTTAAACAATTTTATCTTAATCACATACGACTCTTGCAAAGTCTAGCAAGCTATTAACATAGCAGGGGATAAGAAAATCTAAATTAAAAAGAACTTGCAATAAAGGAAGGATAAACTTTAGATGACGCTTTACATGAAGTGTTTAGGAAGACCGTGCATTTAAGACCATTGAATTGAGCAGTGAGACTGCAGGGACATGATTTGTACACCAAAACTGCTTCATTAAGCTAAAGTTGGTTGATGACTATAGTGTCCCTTTAAAGTAACCCTATAAGTTATGGGGGTTTTTTTTGTCTTATTCCCTAGATCCAAGAAAAGCCAATAAATGTGCACCATTCTATGATTTCAGATTAAACTCTTAATAACACATCTATTAGTCTGCAAACTTATCATAGGAATTTAGTTAAAGAGATATGTTATACCTTATGAATACTTTCCTGACCACGGGCCACTGAACTCAACACTGATCAACTAAATACTCCAGAACATTTAAACCCAAAAGAACCTTTAACATTTTGAATACTATGCTGAGGTCACAAAGCATTGTGGATAAATACCTACCTCTTTTTCACACTTCTTTATATCATCCAGGAAGCTATAGGTCTTCTCAAACACTTCTGGTTTGTAGTCGCCTGAGAGGTCATCAAATCGAGGGTCCCTTCGCAACTAAGAACATTTAAAAATGGTTACTGAAAATCATACTAAAGGAGGAGGGGAAGACATCTAACCATTTAATCGCATCTTCTACAGTATTGTCATATCAAGAAACTGACAGTAACCAGTCCCAAGTACTGACAAGAAAAGAAAATCGTAGTAAAAGCTGTAAGAAAAGAGAGTGGAGATAAGGATGCTTCAAGGACGGAGGAAAAAGAAAACTTCAGTGCCAAAGAGCCAGCAAGTCTTGCAGGAGAAGAAATGGTGTCCAGCCAGGGACATACTTAATTTCCCATGACAGAATCACTTTAAAGGACCACTCTAGGCACCCAGACCACTTCAGCCTAATGAAGTGGTCTGGGTGCCTGGTCCTTCTAGGGTTAACCCATTTTTTAATAAACATAGCAGTTTCAGAGAAACTGCTATGTTTATGAATGGGTTAAGCCTTCCCCCTAATCCTCTAGTGGCTGTCTCATTGACAGCCACTAGAGGCGCTTGCGTGCTTCTCACTGTGATTTTCACAGTGAGAGCACGCCAGCGTCCTGGAAAGCATTGTAAATGCTTTCCTATGAGACCGGCTGAATGCGCGTGCAGCTCTTGCCGCGCGTGCGCATTCAGCCGGCGGGGCGTAACGGAGGAGGAGAGGAGGCAGAGAGCTCTCCGCCCAGCGCTGGAAAAAGGTAAGTTTAAACCCCTTTCCAGAGCCGGGCGGGAGGGGGTCCCTGAGGGTGGGGGCACCCTCAGGGCACTATAGTGCCCGGAAAACGAGTATGTTTTCCTGGCACTATAGTGGTCCTTTAACATATACCAGTTTTGAAGGCAGCAAATAAATGATTGCTCATAGTGGAATGATATATTTCTATGATTTGGGAGCTATAATATTAGTACTTGCTGTTCCTCGCTACATCACCACTATTCCTGGAGGCTAGGTTTGTTACACTTTTGTAATTCCCATCCTCTTTTGCTGCAAGTTTCTCCAAGCAGAGCAGTCCTCATTGATGACACCAACATGGCGGCTTCACTGCCAGCACATTGGTGTCAGAGTGTCTTATACCCACCAGCAAGGAGAGAAATGTTTTCTAGGAGAGTAGCACAATAACAGGGAGTGGAGAACAACATTTGAGAGGCCATCACTTAATCCACTGTTTAGACTTGAATGCCACTGGTGGTGAGAGGAGAAAATGCTTTTAAAAGACCACTCCAGGTACCATAACAACTTCATCACAACAATTAAGTTATTATAGTGCGAGTAGGTCCCAGGCACCACTTGACCTTAAGGTAAACTGTTAACGAATGTTTAAACGCCAACATTTTCAAGCTGGTGCCCAATCATGTCTAAAGCTGCTGCTCACTGCTTATCAATAATTTCCTAATAAATAGGACACTGACCCATTAGATGTAGACGTGGGCGCATATTAATTCTCTGGAATGAACGTGCACACACAGAAGTGATCTATGACAAAATGGAGAAGCTGAGCAGAACATACCTTCTGAGAATACAGGTTTTTATTTTTGTTTTATTGCCTTTCGCCTCACTGTGAGGCCTTTAACTGTAGAGAATGCTCTCCTCAACAGAAGTTATCAAATGCCAAAGGAACGCATTAATTGTTCAAAGCCGGTAGCATTTTGCTCCCTGGTAACAAGACTCCTCTTACAATATTGTGCGATTAAGATATGGAATGAAATAAAGTCTGACTAGAATGAGAATTACAGTTACTTCTCTAAAAGTCACAGTAGTCTCAGTACGTTATACAGATATATGCAAAAGCCCATATAAGCTCCATAGCGGTTTAATAAAATAGAGCCAAGCTCAAGGATGTTATAGATTTTAGTTTTACATTTAAAAATATTTTATTCTGTGCTTAAAACTTATACATCAAAGGAGTCCATAGCTAGGATTTCAAACTGCCCTGCCAGGTGAAAGGCTCAAGGTTTAATGATTTGATCTACATGAATAGAAAGATTAAAATAATTAACACCATCTCCATCTCACCTCCTTCTTAGCATGTGTCACCTTCCGCAGGTATGGAACGGGTCTCTTAGATGACATCTCTAGAGGCCTGAGAGAAAGGAAACCTTTGTCTATAATTATATAGCTATTGACAAAAACACAGAAACATAACAGTACTATCGAGATCTGAATGTGAGAGAGAGCCGTATTATATACAGATTTTATAAGGTTGGAACACTAACCTATTGTTATATACAGATTATATGGATGGCTGAAACATAGCCTCCTAGCCTATTGCTATATACACATTATGTCAGGGTTTAACAATAGCCTATTGTTACAAGCTTATTTAAAATTCAGCAAAAAGCTAGCCTATCCATACATTACAGACATATGAATATCTGTAAGACGTGATCTGACAACTTACTCCTGTTTGTCAGACTGCATCTCTTTTGTTTTCCCAGGTCTGTCCCCTCCAAGTTCTTTCACCTTTCGCTGGAATTGTTTCTTGCCAACTGTGTTCTGCAGCTGGATCAGCTCTTCAAAGGACATGGTTGAAAGCTCTAGGGGTAGAAATAGGAAGACGTATAGAGCAATACAATTCACTGGTACAGTTCCCAACCCCTTGCTTTCTCTCAATTACTTCCTCCTTTGAACTTACTCGGTAGATTAAGGCTCCTTATATACACAAGTAATACACATGTATTAATCTTTACCATATGATCTGCCTCGAATCTCCCTTCATCCCTATCCTGCTGTGTGATCATCATCTCCTTCAATGTGCCTTCTCAGCCAGTTTATTAAACCTAAACCACCAGACATGCTCTCCTCTCTAATTTTATTTTACGTCAAAATAGCTGATCTTTCTCCTGTCTTACTAAAGGAACTTCCTTTTACAACATTTTCCTCTCTTCCATCTGGATTTAAATCAGATCAACCGAAAGTCACTCAAAGTGGCACCGTACACTAGCCACTTACTTCTGTTAATGAAGAAAATCATCAGACATTCTTCCCTATAAACTCACACTACATTCTACAGCACTGGCCAGTCCCCTGTAACAGTATATTTACTTACCTCATTAGCAATTACTCATGATTCCATATGCCTTTGACCTTCAACTACTTATTTGCCCAGTTTCAATAAATCCCTTAGACGGACTGCATCACTGAGACAACGGTCTCGTTAAAAAGAATGCAGGCAATTGATTTTTTTCCCCTTCCTATTTACCTGCTTCTTCCTTCTTTCCACACCCCCTCCAGGGGAGATACTAATCTAACCAGTGTCCAATCCCTAGGAATGCTGGAAAGGCTCATTGGGCATGCCTGACAGAGTCACACATCTACAGTTGGAAAATCTCTTCGCCTTGGAACATCCTAACACGGAGCAAGAGGGTATGATCAGTGCGACCATGCAGAGCAGGCTCCTTTGTTTAGTCTCTCTCTCTCCTGCTGCATAATAATAACGTCCTGATTTTGTTATTAGCTGACTTTTCTGAAACTGAGATGGTTTGGTAAAGGGGGGGGGGAGGGAAGGGTGGAGGTCCAAAGAAACTCCCCTAGCTGAGAGGCATACCCAAAATTGCAATCTGACCAACTATATAAAATGTTTATTACATACTTTACAAAAAATGTCTTGTTTATTTTGCTTTGTATGCAGTATTTTATTAAAAGTGTTTGCTTTTTTTTTATTTGCAGACACACCCCTTTTGAGGACACCAGTGCTTTATCCCCAAAATTCACAGCAAGTGTACTGCAAGGCTCAGCTAATGAGAGCTAATAGGAAATGTTGCCTGCCTAGGAAATGTTGGCTCTTTGCCATTAACAAGTGTAGTGGCTCTGAGTGGATCTTTTATAAAATAAAAAAAATAAAAAAACTTTAAAAAAAAATGTTTGCATGCTTACATTGGGTAGCAGGAGGAGTCCTTGAGCACTGCACCCACTATCAGTTAGGAAGAAGGAATAGTTGGTGCTACTGCACTGGGCTCATCGGAGATCCACTTCAGAGTTATATATTTTTTTTCCAACTTAAATAATTAGTAACTTAATTCCAAAATGTCTTGGTTTCCCATATATTTTGAGTGTAGATTTTGCAATATAGATGGCATTAGTAGACGATTGTTGGTGTGCTATGTTTCATGAATGGAATAATAGCTCCGTCAGTTGTGGGCTTACCAGTGAGACAGGAGGCGATGTAAAACAGTAACGCATTACACTTCCACATAAAAAATATATCTAAAAAAAAATATATCAATATTTCCTACAGTATTGAAAATTAAATTTGTACCACAAGTGTCCACTGGTACCTTTCTCAGCAGGAGTTTCCTCGCTCTCTGATGCCTCTTCATGTTCAAACCTCTGCACGCTTACGGCTGGGTCACTTGCAGACCTTCTTGTTGCATTTGACCGTCTTTTTTGTTTCGGGCTGTTGAAACCATTGCCAGATGAGCCTTGGAAAGCGTATCGCGACTTACTTCGACCCTCCATGTCCTGCACAGACCTAAAGATTTAAAGGATTTCGCAACAAAAATTTAAAAGTAAAATTGCTTACAAGGACACAACCACCAGCCCCAGATTGACAAACAAAACCCTCAAACCGTACCCTCTGCACCGCACTAGATTTACAACCAGCACCATAGCAGGTCTAACCACAAGAGGACCAACGACACCCATTGCACAGCGCCAAGGAATTTGCTGGCCCTTTATAAATAATAAAATAACGACGGCCGCCTAAATTTTAAAGGCCATCTTCACCTCTAAGTATCCCCTTTCTGTAATCGTAAAGCACTGCAGAATATGTTGGCAAGATATATAAAAGCGAATAATAATAATAAAATAATAATAATAGCTTCCAGGGGCCCAGAACCATGAAGATACTTGGCCAATTTTGGTTGCATTCACCATCCATATAGGAAGATTAAGGAGAGACCCAAATCAAGTGAACTGCTTGACCCCCTTAACACAACACCAACCAAACTTGGAGCCAGGGCACTATCAGTCCTCAAGGAAGCTGGTCTGTAGCAAACACGCTGGGAACAGGGCGCTCTGACATGACGTCATTACCCCCGCGACGGCCTCTGGGACCACACACACACATACAATGTTTACCTATCCACACGCTGGCAAGGGATAGAGCACTTTCACATTACGTCACACGCTGCTACGTGCTGGACAGGGCGCTGGCAAGGCGGAGTCGGATTCTGCGCAGACAGGTCCTGTGCTTCCTAATTCAAATCACTATGGCGGGATCCCACGCAGGATATCAACAATGAGGGGGGGTGACAGAACACCTACAGGCAGTAATGGACCATTGTCACACTATAATCACTGGGCCAGGCTGCCAGGGATTCCTGGAGGACACTCCGTAGTTTATTGAAGATTGCTTTGCCCCACCAGGTCTAGGGCATCTTCTAAGGTGAGGTCAGATGTGCATGGGAACGCTTAGAACAGGGGTCCTCAAACTCCAGCCCCCCCAGATGTTGCTGAACTACAACTCCCATGATTCTTTGAATTACAAAGATAGCCAGAGAATCATGGGAGTTGTAGTTCATCAACATCTGGGGGGCCGTAGTTTGAGGACTCCTGGCTTAGAAGAATACCTCCCGATTAGCTGGGGGTTGCTGCTGGGGGTAGAGATGTTTTCAGATGCAGATCTGGTGGGTGTTAATTTTGGGATATCCTAGAGCAGGCATAGGCAACCTTCTGCAGTCCAGATGTTTTGGACTACACCTCCCATGATGCTTTGCTAGCATTATGGGTGTAAGAGCATTAATGGGGATGTAGTCTACAACATCTGGAGTGCCAAAGGTTGCCTATCCCTATCTTAGGAGGAAGGGAGCACTATAAATAATAATGCGGCTGTAGCATTGTAATTGACAACATTTTGTGACTAGTGTTCTTCGATCTTTACAAATATGGGTGTTAACATATGTCCATAATAAAGGATTAGCAGCACAAGTAAATGAAAAGGTGACCCCTGCAGTTGAAGAACTGCAACGCCCATGATGCTTTCTATCCCTAAGATAAGATTGGCAAATAATCATGGGAGTTGTAGTTCTATAACATGCAGATAAAACCAAACATTATGGTGGTTAACCCCCAAAAACTAGAAAGAGGATCATACTTGGTATGAGGTATACAATTCCATATTTTACATTATAACACATGCTACAGGTCATGTTCTGTGATCAAACATCATCACATTTGATAGAGCTTTATATGATTGTCTCTGATCTTATGGGCCTTTGTGCTTTTAAAGAAACACTCCAAAGCACTACCTAAATTACTTTAGTTTGCTGAAATGTTTTATGTGTGGGTAGTGTGTCCTATTTTTATCTCAATTTACAAAAAGAGAAAATTTTAATCGAAATTGGCACTTTTACAAATTAACCTTGTTACACCCCCCTGGCAGTCATATAATCGGTCCTGTTTCTTCCTGGTTTGGTACACACTCAGGAGGCATGAATTGCCCAGAGCACCTGCTTTGTAAAGACTTCTCATTGAGCTGCATTGGGAAGTCTGTGATTGGACAGCCACAGCATTTCTAGGCTAGGGAAGAAGGGGAGAGTTTGTAAAAGCTCACGAGAAGCGATCTGCCGTTTTGCAAACTGTTTTTACATATGTCTCCAATGAAAAAAATGCAAAACTAAATGCATGCATGGTTTAATTGTGGATATATCCATTAAATAGTGATTTCTTTTTTTTTTGTATTTGGGCAATGTTAGATAGCACTCCAACTCTCTAATAGACCTCAGGATGTAATTTACAAAAAAAAAAAAAAACAGAGCAGGGAGAAGACCAGACCAGTGTGGTATCATTAATTAGAATACACATATAGAAGAGTTAAACCTTGTTTATCTGAGTAAGATCGTCAAAACTGATCTCAGGTATATATTTGGCACACCCTTTTTTTTCTTAATCACACATCGCCTGCCAATCCGCAACATTCTTACTGCCTTGTAGTATGAGATCTGTTGTCATGGCATGGAGTTCTTTAATTGATGAAGTATTTTGCTTATGTTCTCAGCTCGAATCTTTGGTGCTGAGTAGGAGAGCAAACAATGGGCGTTCACGAACTGTGGTCCATTCTGGAGCCAGTAAAAGTACATGTCCCACTGCACAGCCTTGGTGGGAAAACCCTTGCGGTGGACCTTAGTATTTGGGCCTGTGAAGCACAAACTGTTAAGAAAATGGTTGGAGTAGTAACCAAACCTCATTTAAGGTAACGTTTCTTGCTGATACGTGTTTGATACTATGTTGTTTTCTATGCTTCACAATACATTATTCTTTAAGGTAGGTAGCACTTCAGGAATACTGAAAAAGAGAGTAAATTTACAAAAATGTATCTATTTAATTTATTTGCTTGTCCTTTGCACAAATATGAGGGTTTGAAAAAATTCCAGAGACTATATGGTGTTTTTTATCTTGCAATATGTACGATTCTGAAATATTCGTGTAGAACTCAACATGACATTTTTGTATACAAAATATGTGACAAAAATTGCATTAATACCCTTATACATTTTCTATAGATATTAGAAGGGAAACTTAAGGCATTTTCAGGAGTGCAGATTTATAAAAATGCCATTAGAATGTAAAAATAATGTCTATAGGTGGGTATTACCCAACATAAAGAAAGTATAGTTACATCAAGCATCTGTACAGTACAAGGAAGTGCAGGCTGCTGTTGCCTATAAAGAATGCCTATAGTTGCTTACAACATTCACTCTCTCCTCCTCCTTCCTGCTAGAATTTAGCCATCAATATTGACCCAGACAATGAAATGCAGAAATACTGTGTTAAGCCCTCCAGAGAAATGTCTTGTGATGTAACACTCCCATTTATCTTTTTGTGCAAAGGAACCTCTTTTTCCGTGTGTCCTCCTTGAGTTTGATGGGTGTGAAACTGGTCTTTGTATCTGAAGGTGAAGCCCCAAAACTTAAAGCTGAGACCATGAACAAGAGGAATGAGATGCGCTATGGGCCATCCACCAATTCTGTCCCTTCAAGACCTGGACGATCCTATTTTAATACTGTTTTAAAGGAGGTAAGGTGTCAAGAAAATTTATTTGCTAACCCGGTGGTTCCCAAACCAGTCCTCAAGGCACCCTTACCACTCCTGGATTTAGGGATTACCAAATTGTATCTAAGGTGTTTTTAGGGGAAAAAAAAACACCTTAGACACAACTGTATAATCTCTAACTCCTGGAATGGTAAGGGTGTATAATCTCTAACTCGGAGGACTGGTTTGGGAACCACTGGGCTAACAAAAAGACATGCATAAATATTGAATCTGCTTCCTGCCAGCTGTACACAGGAAATACAAAATGGCAATTTGTTTATTTTCATCCAACTTTTTTGCTGCCTCCAGTCCCCACCTGCTCACTTGTTCCAGGAAGATGGGCATCATAAAATAGGTAGTATATCTTCAGGTTAAGAAGTTATGTTTCCTTGGTTGCATAACCAGATATAACAAAAACTCCACCTAACGGTACACTATGTTTTTCATGGTTCTTCACGTCTCAGCGAGAAAAGAAATAAGAATGTCGGCAAATTCCACCAGTAGAAAAGCTATAAACATGAACACACATTCATTTGTGTGCGACATCTGGTCTATCAGAGAACACTGTGAGGGCGCCTTTTGGGAGATATGATGGCTTGCATAGATTTCACCCGCCCTGCACTGTGAAGACCTAGATGTCAAAATAGAAAATGCTCCTGTATGAAATCTGCCCATACTCTTCCTTCTATGTGTTACAGCAGTTCTCTGCCTAAGGTGTGATGAAGAATATCAAATATGTTGAAAAGAAAACCGTATAACATATTCTGTCTAAAGAGTAATGTTACCCTGTATGTCCATTTGTTCCTGCCTTTATTTTTGTGTAGTGTCTTCGGCTTTTGGACTGCCTTGGAGTCCCATGGGTTCAGGCTGCTGGAGAAGCCGAGGCCATGTGTGCTTACCTAGACGCTAACGGGTACGTGGATGGATGCATTACAAACGATGGAGATGTCTTTCTCTATGGTGCTAAGACGGTTTACAGAAATTTTACCATGAATGTAAAGGTACGCTACACTGCTCAAGGAAGATGTTCGTATGGCTACAAATACAGCTCAAGAGTCCATTTTCCTTTTATTTCCATTCGGATATCCATTTGATGGCTGAAAAGACAAAAATTGCTCCTTAGAAATAAGTGTCAGACATTCTCTTGTAAGAAATGTTTGTCTCTTGTTAGTACACAGTTAGGACAGAGAAAGGCATGTAAGGTATTCAGGGGCTGGTCACATTCTAAACCTGCAGCAATGTTTTCATAGGCCCCACAAGCAGGAACTCATACTGAATTCATACCAGGGCTCCTTGCTGGGAACACCACACATTAGAGTGAATCTGTCAAGAAAGGTTTGCTCTATGCCGTAGCATCTCCTTATGGAATGAATGTAGAATATATCACAGTGATAAATTCGACAATTACTTTCTTCTTAAGGCTATGTTAATTGCCTCCAGTACTGCCATGATCCAGGCTTTATGGGTGTTGTACTATGACAGACCCTACTTTGGAACATTTTCCCAAGCAATGTTTACTGCAAACATACTGGGATATATTGGCTTCATTGCCAGCACATTGCTGTGAGAATGTAGAGATTTATGTCATTCTGTTTGTATATTCTTCTACCTAGCACATGATGTGCACTGTGACCACACACCATTCAATTTAATACACTCAGCTCTATGCTGAAAATGTAATACCCAGTAAGGGAAAAGGGCAATATATTGAAACTGATTTTTTTTTTATTTATTTTTTTTTTTAAGTACTTTATTAAGAGTTGGATTTTTTTTCCATATGGTTTTAGCAGATGCAGCTATAGCCACTGTAATGAAAAAACACAATTTTGCGATTGTTATAAAATAATTGACTGTTGCCACTAGATGGCACCATACACCTCATTGTCATTTGATTTTTAACCTTGAAAGGAATGACTGTATAGTCCTCTGTGTGTTTGAGCAGGGGTATACAACCTTCGGCACTACAGATGTAATAAAATACATCTCCCGTCATGCTTTGCCAGCATTATAGGAGATGCAGTGTACAACATAGTAGTGTAGTCCAAGGGAATGTGTATCTAATATAATGAGGACTCAATACCTTGACTTATATTATATAACTAGATGTAAAAAAAAAAAACCAGATACAATTCGTATCTTGTAATACCTTTTTTATTGGACTAACAGAATTCTTTGGACTAACAAAAATTCTGTTAGTCCAATAAAAAAGGTATTACAAGATACAAATTGTATCTGTTTTTTACATCTACATCACTGGACTAATATGGCTACAATCTACTTGAACATTATATAACTATGTATGTTTATGGTTGTTAAAATCTGCAATAGGAGCTTATGGTAAGAGTGTTTTCTAAATAATTTGTTACCAGGACAGTACGGTAAGATAAGCAGATGGATGAAAGCTAAGGAAACAAATTAGGTAGGTGGACTCTCTGTTAGGAGTATTAAGGTCTGTTGGGCAGCAGGAAAAGTCCAGAATTGATGTGGAAAAAGGCAGATAAATGGGTCAGGACTGAATGAGTCAGAGGGGATAGGATGGAATGGGTGGAGAAAGGCAGATCGGAGGGGATAGGATGGAATGGGTGGAGAAAGGCAGATCAGAGGGGATAGGATGGATTGGGGGAGAAAGGCAGATCAGAGGGGATAGGATGGATTGGGGGAGAAAGGCAGATCAGAGGGGATAGGAGGGATTGGGGGAGAAAGGCAGATCAGAGGGGATAGGAGGGATTGGGGGAGAAAGGCAGATCAGAGGGGATAGGATGGATTGGGGAGAAAGGCAGATCAGAGGGATAGGATGGATTGGGGAGAAAGGCAGATTGGGATGGATTGGGGAGAAAGGCAGATCAGAGGGGATAGGATGGATTGGGGGAGAAAGGCAGATCAGAGGGGATAGGATGGATTGGGGGAGAAAGGCAGATCAGAGGGGTCAGCATGGTTGGGAGGAGGGAGGCAGTCAAAGTTAGAGGGGTCAAAATGCAAGAGAGATAATTTCAGGCACGGGGGGCGGGATGGAATCGATAGAACGACTGATAGAGGGGGAACAGGAGGAGAGAGATGGGCAGGCAGAGGGCAAGGATATAACAGAGAAAATGGCACATAGTAGGGTCATGGGGGAAGGAAGAGCAGGGTGCGTAAGGGGGAGCAGGGAAGAAGTGAGAGAAGGGCAGGTGAAGAAGGAGGGTGGAAAGACAAGTAGAGGGGGCAGGTGGAATGCACAGAAGGGCCGAGAGGGGCCTGAATGGAATGGACAGATATTTAAGTAGAACAGACAGGGTGATGTCTGTCACAGCTTAATACCAGATGTCATTCGTCTGATAATTTGCTGCTGTAATGAATGGTGAAAATAATAAGGTATTGTTTTGAATTACTTGAGATCTCAGTGCTGAATACACGGTATTTCTGAGTCTTGCATTGAAACCTTACAGTAATACTTTGGGATGCTATGGCTTCCATTTTCATCCCTTCTGTTTAAAAGAAATGTGTCAAAGGTGGAGGAAAGAGAACATGTCTTTATCAATGGGGAGAATGATTAAATTCAAGATAGAGGCAGCTAGCAGAGAACAATTGCTTCAATCTTCTATATTATTCCACATGATTCATGTCATGCCGTTTGTTTTGTAATATCTATCACATTTTATATATCCACTAAGAGGTGCAGGTATTCATTTTTTATTTTTATTTTTCATCTCCCAACTGTGTTAATTTATTATATAGGATTTCAGTGCACGTGATTGACAGTTTTGTATATATGCAGTCGTGTTTGACTGTTTATCACTGACATCTCGACTAAATAAAGAAAACCAAATATTGCTGCACTGGAGGAAAAGATAATTAAAAAGATGATTAATATTTGCCCTTACACTCATCGACAACTTTATTACTATTTATAGTAATATTTAGTCTTCTTTTGCCTTCAATTTGAATTCTTTGTAACTAGGTGTCAATAATTTCCTTAGGAATTTTGATCTAGTGAGGTTAGCATCACATAGCTTCTGCCGGTATTTCAGTTACACATTCAAGCTACGGGCATTATCCTGCAAACACTCTTTGGAATTGAGATCTGGGGATTGTGTATATACCACGCATACACAGTCGGCAACCATTATGTTTCAAGGGTTACTTGAAGCATCACAACCACTGCAGTGATTCTGTACGTGCAGCGTTTTGCTGCATATTTGGAGCTTAACCAATTTGCCATCGTAGGTGTAACAATACCTGCAACGGCATTGAGATGCCATTAGACATCTCTTGGTTTCATTTTAAATTCAAAATGACAGCGCAGTGTATTAACTTAAAAAATTCTTATCTCCTGCTCTGTTAATTTGTGTATTTAAACACAAAATGTTTTTGCAGGCTCTAGGAGGCCATTAACAGAGCAGGAGTTAAGAAATTCTAAATGAAACACTCTTTATTCGCTTATTAGACTTTTTCAGGAAGTGTGTATGGAGCATGTGTGAGTCACATGCAGGGGAGGTGTGGCTAGGGCTAGTTAGTGATTTACCTAGTAAATGGCAGATAACTGAGCAGAGAGACTGCAGGTCATGATATATACACCTAAAATACATCATTAAGATAAAGTTGTTTTGGGGCTTTGAGTGCCCCTTTAACTGTGTTTGAGAATAAAAAGCTTTTGGATTCATGTTGTACGTTTAGCTTTAACAGCATTTGGTTTCTTTATCTCTCTTTTTTTCTTTTCTTTTTTTTTTTTTTAATTAAACCTGCTTTATAGGACCCTCACGTGGACTGTTATGAAGTGTCCTCCATTCAGACAAAGCTAGGACTGGAGAGACATTCGTTAGTGGGCTTGGCTGTTTTCCTAGGCTGTGATTATATTCCAAAAGTAAGTTTACCTTCAACACGCATCTCTAACACACTTAACTGTGAATTTGATTTATCATGTGTAAATGTGCATATGAATGCTGATATATGAGTAGGAGACCAATAATTCATCCTTCATGCAGTGTAATGCTTTTTCCAACTAGTGTATTGTATAATCGGATCTAATACATTTTGTTAGGACTTAGTTTTGTGGTTTGGTGAATCAAGGTGGTGTCTTTATTATAAGTGGTGGCCCAACTTGGGTGCTGGGCATGGCCATCCACAGCATGGATTCTCATGGAATTTGCCTTTCGTTTGATTTAAATGGGACGTAGCAGTCACATTGTCTATGTGGCCCTGACCCCCAGGAACATTTTCTGCGGACACTTCTGGCCATGCGTATCAGGAGGTCAGCAACTCACATAGAGGGTGGAGAGAGAGAGAGTGCACGTGCCTGCATGCATACATATACAGTTGCAAGAAAAAGTATGTGAACCCTTTGGAATGATATGGATTTCTGCACAAATTGGTCATAAAATGTGATCTGATCATCATCTAAGTCACAACAATAGACAATCACAGTCTGCTTAAACTAATAACACACAAAGAATGAAATGTTGCCATGTTTTTATTGAACACACCATGTAAACATTCACAGTGCAGGTGGAAAAAGTATGTGAACCCTTGGATTTAATAACTGGTTGAACCTCCTTTGGCAGCAATAACTTCAACCAAACGTTTCCTGTAGTTGCAGAGCAGACGTGCACAACGGTCAGGATTAATTCTTGACCATACCTCTTTACAGAACTGTTTCAGTTTAGCAATATTCTTGGGATGTCTGGTGTGAATCGCTTTCTTGATTTACTTCTATGCTTTGGGTCATTGTCCTGTTGCAACACCCATCTTCTGTTGAGCTTCAGCAGGTAGACAGATGGCCTTAAGTTCGCCTGCAAAATGTCTTGATAAACTTGGGAATTCGTTTTTCCTTCGATGATAGCAATCCGTCCAGGCCCTGACACAGCAAAGCAGCCCCAAACCATGATGTCCCCACCACCATACTTCACAGTTGGGATGAGGTTTTGATGTTGCTGTGCCTTTTTTTGCCTTACATAGTGTTGTGTGCTGTGCTCTTGCAGTCATCTTTACAGGATGGCCACTCCTAGGGAGAGTAGCAGCAGTGCTGAACTTTCTCCATCTATAGACAATTTGTCTTACTGTGGACTGATACCGTGGAGATACTTTTATAACCTTTTCCAGCTTTATGCAAGTCAACAATTCTTAATCGTAGGTCTTCTGAGAGCTCTTTTGTGTGAGGCATCATTCACATCAGGCAATGCTTCTTGTGAAAAGCAAACCCAGAACTGGTGTGTGTTTTTTATAGGGCAGGGCAGCTGTAACCAACACCTCCAATCTCATCTCATTGATTGGACTCCAGTTGGCTGACATCTCACTCCAATTAGCTCTTGGAGATGTCATTAGTCTAGGGTTCACATACTTTTTCCACCTGCACTGTGAATGTTTACATGGTGTGTTCAATAAAAACATGGCAACATTTCATTCTTTGTGTGTTATTAGTTTAAGCAGACTGTGATTGTCTATTGTTGTGACTTAGATGATGATCAGATCACATTTTATGACCAATTTGTGCAGAAATCCATATCATTCCAAAGGGTTCACATACTTTTTCTTGCAACTGTATACATACGTAGAAATATAGAATGTGGCGGCAGATAAGAACCATTAGGCCCATCTAGTCTGCCCAATTTTCAAAATACTTTAATTAGTCCCTGGCCTTATCTATCATACATACTTGCATGGCTCAAAATTTCCACTAGCTTTTGACAAGTGAAAATTTAGCTCAGTCTTTTTGAATATCACCTACTGGAAAGCTGTGGCTACTAACTTTTAAAACCTGACTAGCAGTGTAGCACTTTGAATGTTAAGCTTTGTGTGTTTCTTTCTCCCTCTATAATGTGTGTGTGTGTGTGTGTATGTGTATATGTACGAGGATTCCTAAGGAACAGCACACTCAAATACTGTAAAACAGAAAAAAGATTTCATAAGTGTTGCAAAATGTGGTGATATGGCGTCCCCACGAAGAAGTTAAACATAAGATTTGTGCAGGATATGTCCCATTTCTCCTTGTCCGATAACAGATGTTCTTGCCTGGTATTTCTCATGCTTGTAAGACACGTAGAAGCTCGGCCTTGCATCCTGCAGTCACATTAGCCTGGTCTCCAGGTTGTGCGCCAGACAGGTGTAATAAATCTTGCTGTTTTGCTGGAGAGGTCCCGGCCGGCCCATATAATGCAGATGAGTAACGGTGCAGTGTGGAGAAGCTTTTAGTGCTGGATGGTGACAAAGTGTTTGTTAAGCCACATCTGGAAGCAATTACTTTGTGATAAGTCTGTCTCTCATACCTGTGCTAAATGAGCAGTACCTTCATTAGAGAGAATTTTCAATTGTTAATTACCTGGGAAGCACTTCCTATAAGCTAATGTGTGTGGAATCCCAATAAAAGGCCTGTACTCTGTACTCTTACACTAATCCCACACTTAACCCTTTGCTTAACTGTATTCAAGTACAGTCTCCTCCTGTTATTTAAATGTTCATAGGGATTTGGGATAGTGCGCAGGTAGCTTTGTTTTGGTTTTATTGTATGTACTTGGTCTGATGGATACTGTAGTCATTGCTGTCGCCTAGGAGTAATGGGAGTTTGATCTCAGGGCTTATTTCTGTGTGTTTGTATTGCACAGCCATGTTATTTTGCTGCTACCCATCCCATGTTTGTCCTATTAAGGGTTAATAAGTGTGTAGGGTTTCATAAGAATGCCCCTTACTGTCTTAGAGATTTTACCATTTAGCTGAAAGCAGCCAGGTGAATTGTTACTGTCGGACTCACGAGAGATTTGACTTGACGTGGCATGTGAGCCATTAATGTGTACGCTCAACTGCCACGTCAAGGCAAAACTTATTAGGTGAGTCCTACTTGAACGATAAAATATCTAGTGAGACAGAAAGAGAAATTTTTATGAAACGCAGGGCTTAAAGTTTGTATTTGCTTTGTATCACACAGCTATGTTACAGTGCGGCTGCTCACCTCATGTGCTCCCTATTAAGGGTTAATATGTGGAGGGGTTTAACAAATACCCCTCTCTGTCTTAATAGTGATTGTGCCCTTTAGCTGAAAGATAGCAAGGTGAATTGTAAGTGTAGGACTCATCTAAGAGGTTTTACCTTGATGTGGCAGGTGAGCTTACACTTAAATGGCCATTGGAGTGATACTAGAAACTTCCAGTTATTTAAATGTAAGTAAGGATTTGGGATAGTGTGCAAGTAACTCTTTTTTTCTTTGTTTTTTATTGTATGTATTGGGGCTGATTTTATATAGGCATTGCTGCCGCCCAGGAGTAGTGGGAGTTTGAACGCAGTCTTAATTTTGGATATTGAAAAATGCTATAGCCGTTGCTGCTGCCCAAGAGTTGTGGGAGTTTGAGTGCAGGACATTTGTGTGTTTTCATCCTTGAGTTGATGCATTTCAGAATTAGCAGTGTACAGCCCTTTTCAAGTATCGAATATGGATAAAGAGGAGTAGAAATGCTTTGAGTAGCTCAGCCAATATAAAGAATTCTGTTCTAAATCAGCCGCGTACATCAAGAGACGGCATTTATTTGTCAGCCGCACAGGTTTAGCCGTATTGGCAGCTTTCTCTATTCTCCTGCACAATTGCAAGGATTCATGTCTTCATTAATCCTGCGATTGCTGCCTCTGGGCAAGTCTATTATTCATTGCTATGCCTAGCCATGCAGCAAAATCCATGCACGCCACACTTTACTATCTACATGTGCTTGCACAGCAGCTTTTTATTTTTTATTAATAAAAATATATGCTCGTTGTCATAAAATTGTTCAAAATAAACTTAAATACACAGCGAAAATGACGATTTTAATATTTTCCAAATGTTATTTTCCAAAGGTTTTCTTTGTATCAGTCTTTGATCTTTACTTTTTATTTAAAGAATGCTTTAGGAAAGAAGGTCGATAAAGAATTTATAGAAGAGCCTTAGATCTTGCATCCCTACATTTAAATAGGCACAAAATATGTTCCATTATCAGGCTATTATTGTGTTTACATTTTAAAAAATTTCCACTGATTTTTTTCTTGTATATCAGTTGTTGATTGCCTTTAAAGATATTCACACCCTAAAATCTGTCACTATTGTTGAAAAACAAACCAAGTATTGTGGCTAATGTACATAGAAACACATTGTATTTATTGACCGCGCAAGAACAGTTACACCTTTTAGGACAAAACAGCTACAATGGAAAAATGTTCCACTTTAACTATTTTGCCATAACAGGCAAGTTTTGGTAAATTCTTCACAATTTCTGATGTAATGAATGAAGTTATAAACATGCAGCAGTTTGAACCATTGTATCTACCTATTTTCGCCTCTGACTTGTTGGCATTCATTATACTTACTCAAGCATTCCTTAAATTTAATTCTCCGTTATTTTAAAACTTAAATAGGAACTTTAATTATTCTCGAATGTAGAGCACTGAATAAAACATTTTAAATCACCTATAACGTTTGTTGGCGGCTTTTCTTTTCATGTGATGGTTTGTTTACATTAAAATGCTATATTTCTTATTTAGTAAATGGCATCGTAATCCAAAGATTGATATGGAGCTAAGATGGAGGCACCCAATTTGAGGATAAAAAGGTGTCGTTTTATATGTTTGCAGTTGTTTTTCACACAAATACATATTTGTTAAATATAATGATTAGTAAACCTAATAATTAAAATCCTGGGATATTACACTTCCCCTTTTAGAAAGGCTTGCCAGAATTTTCTTTAACAGGTTGTACTGTAGTAATACATTTGAATCACTTACCTTTTTCCACATTAATAATCAAAGATTTTATTTTTTTTAAAGGGAGTCCCAGGAGTTGGAAAAGAGCAGGCCTTGAAACTCATAGAAATGCTAAAAGGGGAGAGCATACTGCAAAGGTAAAATTAATTTAGCAACTTTATCAAAGGCTGTTTGACTAATTTAGGCCTCAATTTAATAAGCTTTCCAAATGATTCAGTATTGTTCGAAAACCTTACCAAATTATTTATCTACAGAAGTCACCAATAACGTCTATGGGAATGTTTGTAGATGACCATTTGTACAGTTTTTCTTGCTGTATTTAATCATTTGGAAAGCTTTTTAAATCGAGGCCTCCTAAGACATTGTGTTATTTAAGATTATTACTGGTACACCTCTGGTATTTTGGGCGCAGAGGAGACAAACTTACCATTAGCAGTGCCAGTCCCCTCCCACAATTCAACTACAAGGTTGGCTGGCAAGCAACAATGCATTTTGAGATGGGTGGATGGGAGCAAATTAATTACAGCACATTTCTATGTAGAAGTCAGAAGTGATTAGACTAGACTTATGGATCGTTATTTTAACCTAAATTTTGCAATCAGGTTTTCATTTTAGTTTGGGTATTTAGTAAACAATACCTCTATGTTTATATTTTAATTGACATATTTGGTGCGACGTTTGTGTACTCATTGGTTATATTAAAGGAACACTATAGAATTAGGAATAGAAAACTGTACTCATAACACTATCCCTCTGCCTCCATGCCCCCCCTTTGCCCGGCACTGAAAAGGTTAAATAACCTTTTGAACATTCAACTTATTCGAGTGTCGAGGTCCTGCATTGCTGGCTCCGTCTCCCACTACTCCGCTATCATGGTGATGGGGTACCTAATGCACATGCACGACGAGTGCCGCACATGCGTTAGGCCTTCCCAATTGGAATGCATTGAATCCGTGCTTTTCTATGGGGATGTAGAAAACGCTGGCATTAAACTCAGTGAAACAGCAGGACGTGCCTCTAGTGGCTGTGTGACAGACAAACATTAGAGGCAGTCTTAGCTCTGCAATGAAAACATTGCAGTTTCCCTAAACCTGCAATGTTTTCAGCTGCAGGGTTGAAAGGACACGGCAGTGCACCCTGACCACTGCAATAAGATGAACTGGTCTGGGTGCCCATAGTGTCCCTTTAAATGTATACACCACTAGAATGGGACTTTGAAACCATTAAAGGAACACTGTAGACAACAAACCAACTTAATGAAAGAGTTTTGGTGTATAGTCTCACTGCTCAATTATGTGCCCTTTGGCTTTGTTTATACAGCCCTAGTCCATTATGTAGGTAACTTACACAGCCTTCCTAAACACTTCCTGAAAAATAACCTAGATGTATGGCACAGTCTGTTAAATCTAGAAACGACGTTGAACGTCCTCACGCTATGCATGAGGACCTCCAGCGTTGGCGGAATCACTATAGGAAAGCATTAATGCTTTCCTATGGGGAGATTTAATGCTCGTGCTATGTTTACATTAGGGTTAATCCAGCCTCCCTTGCAGGCACAGGCATCCTTCGGCACTGCAGATGTTTTGGACTACACCTCCCACGATGCTTTGCAAGCATTATGGGCGTAAGAGCATTATGGGGGATGTAGTCCACATCATCTGGAGTGCCGAAGGTTGCCTATCTCTGCTCTAGTGGCTGTCTCATTGACAGCCGCCTGAGGCGCTTCTCACTGTGAAAATCACAGTGAGAAAACGCTGACGCCCATAGGAAAGCTAATGGATATTGTCAGCGCTTAGTAGATAATCCCCTTTAAAATATACCAGGGGTGCACACATGTAATAAAAATAAAATAATACAAAATGTATCTATAAAAACAGTATAAATGTTCCCTAAAATGTCCAAAGTCTGTTCCAGTCACATGTAGGTTCCTTTGGGGGAAAGTCCAAGTTCCTATTATTGCAATTGAGGACCCAATATTGTACTGGATATTCCTTAAGGCAAAGAGAGACAAAATATAGTGTAACTCTATAACATTTATTGCCCCAGTACAAAAAATCCCCCCCACCCCCCCAAATAGGAACTCTTAAAAAATTTAAATGTGGTACTTATCACTAAGGACCACGAAAATGGCTCGTATAGCTGCTCGTTCTCTCTAGGTCCCAGAGGGAATACCCGGTTCTCCAGAGGCGACAGTGTCTGCCCCGTGCACAAAGGCAGGCTGTCGGAAGATTTCCAAATGGAGAAACACTGAGGATAAATCCCGCTGGAACCTGGTCAAAAAGTATGTACAGTAGAGCTCGGTCCTTTCAACGCGTTTCGCCCTTCTAAGGGCTTAGATGGCCTATCTTGAGAAAGCCCTTAGAAGAAGGGCGAAACGCATTGAAAGGTGCCTGTGACCGAGCTCTGCTGTACATACTTTTCCAGGTTCCAGGAGCCAACGGGATTTATCCTCAGTGTTTCTCCATTTGAAAATCTTCTGACAGCCTGCCTTTGTGCACGAGGCAGACGCTGTCACCTCTGGGACTTCGAGAGAACGAGCAGCTATACGAGCCATTTTCATGGTCCTTAGTGATAAGTACCACATTTCAGTTTTGTAAGCGTTCCTATTTGGCGGGGGGGGGGGGATTAGACAGTAGACTAGCAAAGATGCAGTTTTTGACATAGTATATGCGCTCTCTTTTTTATCTTCTCTAGTCCATTGGAAAGCATTGAGAAATGCTTTCCTATGGACTGATTGAATGTGCATGCGCATTCAGCGCTGACGTCGGAAGAGGGAGGAGATTTCCCCAGCACCGAGGGAGCCCGGCGCTGGAGAAAGGTAAGTGATTAACCCATTCCTCCCCCTTCAGCCCAGCGGGAGTGGGACCCTGAGGGTGGGGGGGACCTAAAGACCCTACAGTGCCAGGGTCGAATTGTTTTCCTGGCACTATTGTGGTCCTTTAAGGCTGCAAATTCAGCTCTTTGACCTTAGTTGTCCACAATCTAAGATTTAAATTAATCTAGTTCTGAAAACATCCTCAGCTGTGGATTTGATGAAGAAATGCATTTTGAATGATGCCATGCTGGTCTCTGATAAATGAAGAATTAAAGAGTAAAATAGTATTAATAAGGGACATTTGTTGCATAGAAAACTTTACATTCAACCTTTGCACAATATAAATAGCCTATGGAGTGGATGCTTATTAAAGTAGACAAAATGTGTAATAAATAAATCTGTTAGTCTCCCAATAAATCTACAATTTTTAAAGATTTCGCGACTATCTAAAACTAACTGTAAGGAAGGGTGGCAAGGAGCCTTTCAACCAATACAAACAAAATTACCTTAAGAATGTATTTTTAGGCAATGCAAATCAGTGGTCATGCCATCCTTGAAAAGGTGATGTTACCACTACAAGAATGCAATTTTACACATTTTCCTTTTCTATTTCTAATTTTTCCTGATCTCAAATAGATCGGAATGTCTGCGTACACTGTATATTAATGCATTTTTCATGTTTACTAGTTACTAAATGATCCATATAACGATGCACTTACTAGCTGGCGCCATGTCCACATGGTTGTCCGTTTTCACAATGGTATAAAATATTACACCTAGGTAACACCCAACTGATAATGGCTTTGCTCCCATAAATTGCTTTGATATGCAAGGTTAGTGCTCTTAATGTCTCTCGTGTTTACTGAGCAGGAAAAAATAAACATCTTAATGTGCAGCAGAGTTTTGGGCCTGTGTGTTCTAGACACACATACAATTTAATGTGGGTCTGCCAGTTTTGTATGTCAGTGGATTAGTGATAAAATTACACCAACAAAATGGTGCATTAAATCATTTAATAACATTTAAAAACAGCAATTGTGATGGGTAAAAGAAAATGGGGAGTTCAGAATCTGACAAGATATAACATTTCTAATTATATATTTATTTTATTATTTTTTTTTTATTTTTTTTTTTCCTCAAAGGTTTCACCAATGGAAGAAAGAGTTTGCAGATCCCACAACACTTCCCAAATCTACCAAAAAAGTGGTTCATTGTTCTGTTTGTTGCCATCCAGGTATGGTGCTACTTAAAAAGCCTCCTAAAATAAAATAAACACAATGTTTTAAGCATTTTCTGCATTATATGTTGATGTTTTGCCTAATCAGTTCAGTGAGTGGTGTATTTTTTTTTTTTCTATCTTTTTTTTTTTATTGAGGCATAAGCGAATTGTACTGTACAAAACAGGCTATACTAAGTCAAATAGTCAAAACGACAAGTTACATGAAATTATTTTATTTTCTGACAGTTTCACTCTATTATCTAATCATACGAGTGCTCTTATTACCATCTAGTTATTCTGCCGTTAGGCAGCACATTTATACATCACTGTTTATTGATCTGTCTGTCTTTTTTATAACTGCATACACGGTTCCATTTGCCTGTTTACACAGTGCAGTTTTTATTTTAGTATATTTTACCGTACTTGAAATTATGCTGAACATCAGAGCATATAAGCATCAAGTGGATAACAAACGAATATTTAGTACAAACTACAATTGAAGAATGGGTCACAAATTAAAATGGATCTGTCTAAAATAAAAAACAACTTTTCCAGCTTTTATCAGTATAGAACCTATAACAAGTTACTGCTCTAACTGACTCACTTTTCCTTTAATTAGCCAGTATTGCATTTTCTGTCTTTCTCTCCTTCTTACGATTCTTCGTTTTGACCAGAAGGCAGACTTTAAATTGGCAAATTTTATTATTACACATTTATTAGCTATAATCAATGTCATTCAGTCACATAAGCATTCAGTAACCGTAATAAGTCAAGCCAGCTCATTCTTTGTTTTTTGTTTATTTTGTAACATATGGCTTTAAGTAGTTGATCAGTATGGCAACTTATAATATTCAGTATGGCTGTTGATAGTGAGTGCCATTTCACCGATATCTGATAAATGACCAACCAGTATGCCAGTTGACAATGAATACAGCTCCATTTGTCAGCTGATGGCAGATTTTTTTTTCCCCATTGCCCCCTCTAAACAAATTGCAAAAAATGGCTGCTTTTCAAATCTGTACAATTAACACATTTTCCTTTAAGGTTCAGCTAAAGACCACGAACGAAACGGTTGTCGATTATGTGGAAGTGATCGATACTGCGAGCCCCATGACTACGATTACTGCTGCCCTTGTAACTGGCATAAAGCACAGCGAGAGAAACGCGACAACCCTGTGGAGTACAACATTAAGATGTATGGAAGATAGACTGCTTAATAAAGTGTATTGATCCCTTGTGGCAAGCAATACTTGTAATGTATTTTTGTGTGTCTTACAGGAAAGCGAAGAAATGTGAAGGTTTTCCTTTCTACGAGGTAATAAAACAGCAGCGTATTGATCACCGACTCTAAAGTTTGTATATGTATAGTTATTGTGTACTTGTCTTTATGCCTTTTTGTTTTGTTTTTTTTCTCTCTTTTCAATTGTTCTAGGTCATCGATGAATTTCTCAGAAATAAAAATAAATTGATAAAAGTGATCAAGTGGGTCCGACCCAATCTTTTACATTTTCAGGTAAGAATATATTGGTTTTCATACTCATATCAAGCAAACTTTTAAGAGACATTACCTCATTTACCAAGCCAGTTCTTGTTTTTGTTACTTAGTCTTCATTTATCAAACCCCTGTGTCCAGAAACCAGAAATGCTGCACTCTATGGAGTCTTTACATCAAACAACGAGCTTAAAGGACCACTATAGGGTCAGGAACACAAACATGTATTCCTGACCCTATAGTGAAAAACTGCCATTTAGGTGGGTTTTCCTTCAGTATTTCCAGCTTCCCATGGGTCTGCCGGTGCTGGCCCCGTCCCCTTGGTGACATCATCAAAATTGCAGATTTTAGCCAATCTAATGCTTACCCAGAGCGTGGAGATGCTGAACGGCAGGGCTGCTTACTGTGCAGCCCTGAGCCAGGAAGCCCCTCCAGTGGTCATCTAAGCAGTGGCCACTTGGAGCTGTCCCTAGAGGCAATGTAAACACAATGTTTTCATAAAAATGCCTGAAGGGGAGCTATTATACTCACCAGAACAACTACATTAAGCTGTAGTTGTTCTGATGACTATAGTGTCCCTTTAAAGTTGGTGAATTATTTAGGCCCAGTGTGGTACACTGTGTATACCCCCAGTTCTCTGATTGAGAAGTTCAAAGCATTGAATGGACCCTCAAGACCTCTAAAACACTCTAATTTGCTGAACTGCTTTATGTGTGAAGAGTGTCCTATCTCATTTTGCAAAAAGTGCAGATTTCAATAGAAATTGGCGCTTTAATAAATTAATCTGGTTACACCCATTGGCTTTTAAGCAGACACCAGGTCCTGTTACTTCCTGGTTTGTTTAGCTCAGTGAAACTAAACTCAAGAGGCAGCAATTGTCCAGAGGACGTGCCTTTCATAGACTTCTCATTGAGCTGTATTCGAAAGTCTGTGATTGGACAGCCACAGAAAGTCTGGGCTTGGGAAGAAGGGGAGGGCCTGTAAAGGCAACAGACAACAAGCTGCATGCTTTGCAAACTGTTTTGAGATATAACTCCAATTTCAAAAAATGCATAAATTAATGTATGTAAATTTTAATTTGTCACTAAAAAATGATTTTTATTTATTTTGTATCTGTGCCATGGAATGTCCCTTTAACTTCAATCAGTTTATTGTAGTTAAAATGCAAAAAGTATGAACAACATTTGTCTCCATTAAGAACTCCTAGTGCCTTTCATCCATGTGGGCAGTAAAGTTTCTTAAAGGAACACTACAGTGTTAGGAATAACACTATAGTGTCCCTGCACCCCCACCCCTGGGCCTCTCCTGGCCATGTAAAAGGTTAAAATGGTTAAAAGGTTGTGGCTGTCTCCCAGCTTCCCTAAAACTGCAATGTTTCACATTGCAGGGTTAAGGGAACAGGGACCCTGTACCCAGACCACTTCAATGAGAGAATTGTAAAGGGAACAGAGACCCTGAACTGGTCTCGGTCCCTATAGTGTCCCTTTAATTCACATGCAGCCCCTGGTCCTTTTATTAATATCTGCTCTGTAGCCAACTCAGAGCTACTGGTAATATGTTGCTGGAGACAACTGCTTTTGGATAGGGAATTCCACTAAATTTACTTATAAATATTTTCCCCTAATTAACCTATTAAGAATGTTTCTCTTGGTTTTTGCTTCTGAACAGAATGTTGCAGCAGTTTTAGCCTAGGGCTAGCTCTCTAATATCAGGATACAAGTTTTTTAAATGATATCTGGTCGAGAGAGAGTGAGTTACAAAGACCTCCAAATATTCTCTTTCTACTGATCTACTGAGGAACACATACAAACAGAATAAAGATATATATATACCCATATCTATAGAACATTCTTTTGTCTAGCTGTTAGATGGATTTTCAAAGAATGATGGGCACTGCATTGAGCAAACAGATGGCAGTCCAGTGTTTCGCGGTCCACAATATAATAATCTGTTATAAAGCTGTTTTTGCCCCTCTCGTGACACACTCAAATTAGCAACAGAAGGACCTAAAGACAAGTAGGATTTGTTGCGTGCGGTATATTAAGCCATTCTGTATTTTCTGCTAGAGATAAGAAACCTGCTTCGTGCTAATGATATCGTTATCAATTCCCAATATTAAATTGGAGGAAAAGCATACGTGCTGGAGATTACGCACAGTAATAATCTTCCACAAACTGAGCACTGCTTGGCTCGAGTGCACTCTGATTAGTGACTAGAGGTGGCTATTTAACACTTGGATGGACAGAGGCATTGTCAGGGCGGCGAGAGATATTATAAAATATATCCTCACCATTCCAAACACAGAGCCGTCTCCTCGCAGATGGATCATTTATAAAGCAGTCCGTTTTATTCATAGCCGTATAAAATACAAAAGGATGTTGGGTGAGCAGTTTATTTTGGGGGAGTCTAAGACATAAACACATTAATTATTAGTGTGCTGTACTTGATGCCTTTATGTAATTGCTAAAATGACTTTATTTATAAGGATAATGCTTCACCGTGCTGAAAGCTTCCTGACCACATTATAAAACTCTCTTCCTCCTTGTACGTCAAGGACATAGCGTTAAGCAGACAAGCTCGTTTTTTTTAAATCTGTTTTCCCCTTTAGTATACCTGATATCAGCTACTTTAATATTGTACCCCGACTATTAAACTTGCACTCGAGACTGTAATTGAACTCTTCCATTTTTTGCATTGTATAGATAATGTATTTAGACAATATATACATACATAAAATACACACATACATACACAAACAATCCAAAAGAATAAAAGATTAATAGAAAAAAGAAAAAAAAGTTCTCAATTTTTAATGTTTTTCAATTTTGTGCAAATCCCCACTCACATCATCATTATCCTAGAGTTTTGCCCACTCCAGGAACAAGTTTAGGCCAGCTGTGATTTTTTTTTGTTTTTGTTATTTTGTGTGTGTGTGTGTATATATATATATATATATATATATTTATTTTATTTTTTTTACAGTTTTTTTATTTTTTAATTTATTTTGCGATACAAAGATTAAAGGACAAAAAATTAAACAGGAGCAAACCCTCATTAAAAAAAAGCCTCCCACCCAGATTTATACCCACTATACAACAGCACATAATGTAAACAGTATATTAGAGACTCCGTTCTAATCTGTGGAATCTGAGCTTTTGATCTGGTATATCACAACACTGCAAAGGTGAGAGGGGCTGATTAGCAGAAATTGTAACACAATCTGTATCCATTCTGTTCAGAGCAGTGTTTTCTGGAACCTCAGTTATCCCTTTTTCTACTTATGAAATTTGTTTGCTCAACTATAGCTTGTAGAAACGGTTGCTGTGCTTCCTGCTGAAATGTACAACACTATCATTGGACAATGCAGGTTAGCAGAGAAGGACAAAAATGGAAGTGTACTGTACCCGGCAAAAAGGAATGGTGAGGTTAGACAGAGGAAGCAGGGTTAAAGGGTTACTCCAAGCACCATGACCACTACAGTGATTTGAAGTGGACATTTTGCCTGGAGTCTGTATGTGCAGCAAACTGTAGCAGTTATGATGGTTGGAGAATCCAACCATCTCCCCAGATTTCATAAGTAGTAAAGGAGAAACCTTTTACACCTAATAAAGAATATGGAAATATATTTAGTACAAAATTGGATCTGCGAAAAAAGATTATTTTTAGACCAAAATTATTTAGACCAAAAGCTAAAAAATGAATTATAGTTTTGCCTGGAATGTCCTTTTAACAGATTTTACAATGTTTCGTTAGCATCTTGCATATACCTTTGGTTACAAAGACCAGTTAGCCTTAAAATCTGCCTGGATTGCATTACATTCTTTCAGAGCCTCTGATTCTCAACATCGACTGTGTTTGACAGATTCCTCTAAATGCTTGAAATGTGGGGAGGAGGAGGCTGATGTATCCTATTGTTTTGGGGCCTGTTCTCGCATAAGCGATTTTTGGCGGAAGTTCAATCATACATTGAGTCCCTATTAAGCTTCCCAGCGCCGCAATCCCCGGAGCTGCCCATTTTCTGTATTTTTCTGTCCCTACTCCAAAGTACTGTAGATTTTTCCAAATGGTTCTGGAGCTACAACAAAGACAGTCCTCCATACCTGGTTATCTCATGATGTAAACTTAAATTTTTAGGATATAAATAACAAACACGGGCACACTTTGGTCTTTTAATTATCTGATGCTGACGTAGAATCTATACATGGAAATAATTGACATTTCATAAGTTCCATGTTTTAGATGGTACAAATAAACTGTTCAGGAAAACCATGATTTTTTTATTCATGTTTATATAAGGAAGTAAATAACATTTATTTATGTATTTATTTGTTCTCTTTCTTCTGGATCCCAGAACTTTACGTTGGAGCGAATGGAGTGGCCAAAGCATTATTCTTGTGAAAAACTGCTGGTGTTGCTAACGTACTATGATCTGAATGAAAGAAAGCTTGGCAGAGAGCATGCCACACAGCTGCAAGCCATTCGGTAACATGATCAAAACAGTTTGAATTAATTTACATTCAGTAATGGGATTGTTAGCTTGAGAAAAAAAAAAATTATGAAGTCAGACAAATATGACTTTTTTCAATTTGACAATTTTTATTTTGTCGTGGTAAGCTGGGGGTACAGAAAAGAAAAGGGAGAGTTTAAGTATAAACATCTAGCACAGTACATCCATTCAACGATGATATATTGTGTTTGTTACAGTAAATGCAGAATGTACCTTGTATGCAATAAACATAAACATTTCAATGTCATAATTCACCATTAGCAATGTAGCGGGGGCCTAGTTACTCGCCTGTTTAAAAGGCTTTGTCAACATAGTAATTGGCCTTGTATGGACACATTCAGCTGGTTGCGGTTTTTGTCTGTATTTACCATTTGCAAATATTTCAATGGACTTTCCCATGCGGTAGGGGGATACAGGAGGGAAAGGGATGTTATGCGAGGGATATCTTACACCATACTACAAGTTGCACCTTAGGTGTTGTTATAAGTCTCCTTGGACGCCCTGTATTGCAGATTCACCTTATGTGTGCTAAGATGCCTTAAGGGAAATAACGCATTCCAGACTTGGCCAACTGAGCCTCAGACCTGTGGGACTACAAGCTCTGCAGAAGGCGGTTTGTGGCATTCTCAGTGCAAGTTGTGTCCATGGAATCCATGCCTTTGTAACCAGAAATGTTGCCCAGGTGAGAGAAGGGTGGCGTGAAGTAACTTGGAATCTCGAGCTTGAGTTAATATTCATACCCGTTTATTTGTGGTGGCATTGTGCGCTGGAGCTCTCTGCTCTTGAGCTAGGGAGGGGATGAAATACTTCTGTTGGGTTTTTGGGTGTCCCACTGTTTCCATGCCACGTACCAGTGTTTGGCATACAGACGGGAACATCTGGCCATGAGTTTGTATTGCTTGTTAGTGTCTATTGTTGATAAACACTGTTCTATGTTGGGGGGGAAGTGCTACCTTCAAACTGTCTGCTTATTACCATAAGAGCTGCAATGATAATGTGGTAGATTAGATACCGTTGGCTTTTCTGAAGTTATTTTGGAAACAAGGAGAAATGTTTCAGGGCGGAGAGGGAGATAGACTCCTGTGCAACATTTTATCACGTTTGCTACTGCATACCGATATGTGCTAAGTCGTGGTCATAGCCACCATATGTGAAGCATGTCACCTTTGTCCCCCTGACACCTCCAGCACTTGTCCGAGTTTTAATGGAAAGCTGTGCTGCAATCATGTGCGGACTAGGTACCACCTGTATAGTATTTTGTGTGACCGTTCAATGTGAGTCGAGCACAGTGTCAATGATTTGTGAGCAGTGAATATCTCCCACCATTCTGGGGTCTGTCAAGGTTGCATTGAGGTCTCTCTCCCATGCCCTTTTAAAGGAGATTAAGCAGGATGTAGAATGATCTGATGCATAAATTAAGGAGATAAGTTTCTTGGAAAGTTTTAGTTTAAGGCCTATATTTTCAGCTTTGGGCAATTTTGGCCCTAGTGAGTCTGTTGTGTGTGGTGATAGTTGTGGTGCGATCCAGGATGTCAGTTGTAGATATGGGAAGTGGACTGTGTTAGGGAGATTGAATTCAGATTACAGGTCTGGGAACCCTTTGAGGGAGAAGCGTTGAAGTAGTTAGAAAAGCGTGTGGACGCCATGTCTCTCCCAGATCTTGTGGTTGAAATTATCTGAGTGCCCTATCCTAAGGGCAGGTGATATTTTGTCTCCCATGCCCAATCTTTTGCGGTAGTTGTCCCAAATATGTAAGCTGAGTGGTGTCGTGGGTAGTGCATGTTGGTATTTTGGTTGTTCTGCCGTGGGTATCCATGTTGTTAGAGGGATCCCCCATGTGTAACCTTTTTTTAATTCGAGTCCATGCTAGCAGATTCGGGAGGTAGAATGCTGATAATAGAGTAGAGACAAATGCGTTCAGGATTTTCTGTAATTCCATGATGAATGATGGAATTCTTTCCTGCGCCGCAAGGTCGCTGTGGAGAAGTCCGCCATTATTCACACTGTGGGGTAATCCTCGTGGGGGTCTGTTTTGTTCCGGCATGCTCGCGTAATGAGTTCCTTGATGTGGTAATGCGCCATGAGAAGCATATCTCATGGTACCAAATCAGATAAGTGGCTGGGTTTGGCACCCTGTGGACTCTGTCCACCAGCAGCATATCCGCTGGTATCCCCGGTGCATAGGCATGCATGATACCTTGCACGTTCACCTGGAGGTCGCAGGGAAGGACAGAATCCGGGACACCTCGCAATCAGAGATTATTTCTGCTTGCCCTATCCTCAGTCAGCCATGCAGGATTCCATGAGGTCTAATCTCTTGTGCATCGCCGTAACTTTGTCCGCCAGAACGTTTTTTGCTGAGGCCAGGTCAGTACATGCTGACTCCACATGTGTCGTTCCTGTGGTTAAGTCAAGGATTTCTTTTTGTATTTTGTCCGCCGTTGTTTTACACAAATGGATAAGTTTGGTAGACATTGCATCTAGGGCTTGTTCAAAATAACTCCTAGTTAAGCTGTCCTGTGCTGTGAAGTCCTCTGTAGCTGGCATGTGGTTGCTGGCGCCTGAGTCTTCGGCGCCATCTTGCAGCACAGCCCGCGCGGCCTCAAACGAGGAGCAGGATTTCTGGCCGCCAAATCTTTTAGCTTTTCAGCTCTGGCGGTGCCCTTTTTTTGTTTTGTGACATTGTCTTGAGGGGGTCAGTTCTGGTGATTCTGCAGGTTAGTTATCGGTCTTAGTGGAGCCCATGTGCCGGAGCAAACTTTCAAGCGGCCATCTTGCCCGGCTGCTAGCCATGCCCCCAAATATGACTTTTTAAAGGAGCACAGCAAGCACTAGAACAACTTATGTGCTTTGCACATATTATGGCACGAGAAGGTCCTCTTTCCCTATCTCTCCTATTGTACAGATATCTTACTGGTGAGAGTTTTTTTAATTTGCTGGCCAATGGTCTATGGGGTATGCTGACCTGTACTGAAAATAATGGGAGCATGCTGATTTACTGAGCCACTTCCCGGTCTGGGCAGAGTTCACTGCAGCTTTGTTAAAATATTACTCCATAGGCAACGAAACCTGCTAAAATTATATATCTGATAGCTTTAGGAGATGTTGGTTAACCTACTGACCATCTCTCCTCTGACCGCACCACCTGCATGCATTAATCTGTCTACCTGCGTCTATCCTCTGTCTGTACTCCCACTTCTGATGCTCGCATTCAAGACTTCTCGTTCAAGTAAATTTTTATAGATTTTTTTGAAGGAGTGGAGACTGGAGATAGGGTGAGCATCCCTTCCCTTTTCCGATAGATGCTCACCCTATCTCCAGTCTCCACTCCTTCAAAAAAATCTATAAAAATTTTACTTTTTCACAAAAGCGTATCAATTAAACTGTTAATGGCTCCCAAGTAATTCATCTCCTACAACTGTCATTAAAAAAAAAAACAACAAAAGAAACACACTAAGTCTTCTTTGAATACTACTCTACCAATCTACTTCTCTAATACTTCCCTTACATTTTTTTGTCACTTTACCCCACTCCCTCTAGCATGTAAGCTCATTAAACAATGCCCTCAACCCCTCTGTTTCTGTGCGTCCAACTTGTCTGGTTACAATAACATGTTTGTTACTCCACCATTGTGAATATAATAATAATAATAATAATGAATCATGGATGTCACACACATTCATTCACCTGAGTTCTGTATTTTTCAGAATACACGACTCTTGGGGTTATAACCCACGGCAGCACTCTCACATGCTCGGCTCACAAGAGCGAGAGAACCTGGTGGAAGTACAGTTAGAGGCCTGAGCTCCCCTCACCCACAGTAGAAACTTAAAATGGCACAGGGAGGGAAATCTTGTTATATATACGCAATAAAGGTTGCGTTTTGCATATAGGACGCAGGCAATTTTCTATCGTAAATTTTTTTTTGGGGGGGGTGGGGGGCCGGGGAGACTGCATCTTCTATTTAAACAAATATGGTATTTAGGGATATATATGTTAGGGAAAAAAAGTTATTCTGAAAGAGTTGCGAGGCATGGTATAGGCAACCAGCAGGTGTGGTAAAACAAATACAGTAGAATCTTTCCTGAAAGCTTTAGACAGACACTTCAGCAGCAGGAAACAAGATCAGAATAAAGCCCATGCTTTTAGATTGTAAATGAGTAGAGTGGACAGATCTATTTCACTTATCTGCCATCATACTTAATGTAGACCTGATGTTTCCAATGTTCTATCTCCCTAGAATAGAGTAATATTCAGCAAATAATAGTTTGAAGAGTGTCCGATGCGTCACGACATCACTAGTTTGGTGAAGTACAGGCTGTTCCAGAAAATAACATTTCGAAGTTAATTGATTTTAAAATATTCATGCACCTGAAATGAATGTTTGCTGGAATCCATCTTTTTTCTTAAAAAAAAAAAAAAAAATTATTTTTATGCTTTGCTCTCATGACAGCACCATAGCATCCTTTTTGTCAATCTATCAGATTTACATTTTTTTTTATTTTTTTTTAAAACATTCTTTATTTAAATGTATAAAGATCCCTTATACTAAAAAATCATTGTATACAGTAGCAGAAACAGAGATGGGGTACATCACGTATAATAAAAAATATAGTTTAAGGATCTTAAGATGAGACATAGTTATGAATTTTGTAACCGTTTTATATCCGTTCTTTAAATTGTAAGCGACAGTATCAATAAAAAATGGTCAGACACAAATCTGAAAGGAGCACTATAGGGTCAGGAACACAAACATGTATTCCTGACCCTATAGGGTTAAAACCACCATCTAGCCACCCTGTTCCCTCACGCCTCCCTAAATATAGAAATCTTACTTGTTTTCAAGGCTGGAGCTGCTTGCATTGTCCCTGTTTCCTTTAGACCTGCCCACTGCCTGCTGACATCAGCAGAAGTGGTAGCCTGATCCAATCACAATGCTTCCCCATAGGATTGGCTGAAACTGACAAGGAGGCAGATCAGGGGCAGAGCCAGCACAATTCAAACACAGCCCTGGCCAATCAGCATCTCCTCATAGAGATGAATTGAATCAATGAATTTCTATGAGGAAAGTTCAGTGTCTGCATGCAGAGGGAGGAGATACTGAATGTTTGGATGCATTTTAGGCAGCCATGACCCAGGAAGGATCTCTAACAGCTATCTGAGGAGTGGCCAGTGAAATTATCACTAGGCTGTAATGTAAACACTGCATTTTCTCTGAAAAGACAGTGTATACAGCAAAAATCCTGAAGGTAATGATTCTACTCACCAGAACAAATACAATAAGCTGTAGTTGTTCTGGTGACTATAGTGTCCCTTTAATTATTAAATGTAAGTGTTTCAATCAGGCCCATTGCCACAGGTGTATAAAACCAAGCACCTAGCCATGCAGTCTGCATTTGCAAACCTTTGTGAAAAAAATGGGTCGTTCTGATGAGCTCAATTAATTCAAATGTGGTATTGTGATAGGATGCCACCTTTGCAATAAGTCAGTTTGTGAAATTCCATCCCTGCTAGATGTTCCACAGTAAACTGTAAGTGGTATTATAGAAAAGTGGAAGTGTTTAGGAACAGTATCAACTCAGCCACAAAGCAGAAGACCTCGTAAAGTCACAGAGCGGGGTCACTGAGTGCTGAGGCGCATGGTGCGTTTGTCTCCAACACTCTGCAGCTGCTGCGTGCAAGCTTGACATCACCAAGTACAATGCCAAGCGTCGGATCGAGTGACGTAAAGCACCTTGCCATTGGACTCTGAGGTGGATACATGTTCGGTGGAATGTGGAATCACGCTTCTGTTTGACAGTCTGATGGGCGAGTCTGAGTTTGGCAGATGCTAGAAGAGCTGCCTGACTGCATTGTGTCAACTGTAAAGTTTGGTGGAGGAGGTTAATGATATGGGGCTGTTTTTCAGGGAGTCCCTTATTTCCATTGAACGGAAATCTTAATGCTTCCACATTCCAAGACATTTTGGACAATACTATGCTACCAACTTTGCGGGAACAGTTTGAGTAAGACCCTTTTCTATTCCAGCATGACGGTGCACACAGCAAGGTCAATAAAGTTTGGTGTGGAAGAACTTGACTGGCTCGCACAGAGCCTTGACCCAAAAACCCATCAAACACCTTTGAGATGAACTGGGACGGATATTGCGAGCCAGGTCTTCTTGTCCAACATTATTGACTGACCTCACAAATGTTCTACAGGGGGAATAGGCAAAAGTTCCCACAGAAAGACTCCAAACCTTGTGGAAAGCCTTCCCGGAAGAGTAGAAGCTGATATAGCAGCAAATGGGGGATGGTCAGATGTCCCAATACATATAGTGTAGGTTTTTTTTTTTTTTTAAACTGCTAAAAAATGTTAGAACATTCAGACTGATTCATCCGGCAACATTCACCTTCTCCAGCAATTGATAAACAATAGTTTTAAAATGAAATTGTCAGTATGACCTTTCTAGTGATTACATAAGAGGTTTTCACATCTCCCAACAGTGAAAAACTGATCCTGATCAGGTCAGCCGGAGTCCTTCACACTGTAAAATAGCAGCTCTTTTCCCTCCTTACAGAAATCCATATGCTTCAAATTACATGTAATTATTTTTTTGCTCTTTTAGACGCCAGGGAAAAAAAATTAAAAAATATATTTTGTTTCTCTAAAAGCGGAATATCTCTTTTCTGTCACACAGATATTTCGTAGCTGGTGAGAGATTTAGCAGTTCGTTCCTTTTTAGGAAAAGTAGGCTAGATTCAACTGTGTTTTTATTACACTGATGTTTTTCGATTAGCAGAAATCACTCATCTGGATTATACTTGTGCTTTCTTTCAGAATTGTGAAAAACAGGATCAAAAATGGAATTCCTTGCTTTGAAATAGAATGGGTAAAACCAGGTCTGTACCAGTATTTTCACAAATAGTTTACCTGTATTAATCTGTAGCATAGGCCTCAGCTTGGGGGGTCTACGGCCAGCCGGGGGTTAAGCAGAAACCAGAGAATGAGGTGCAGGAATAAGGAGAATTTAATAGATGACTGTGATGTGGAAAATATGTTAATGGATTTAAAGTTATGTAGGATACAGAAATGTATGTAAGTTAGGAAGAGGTTATTGGTTTACGGCAGTTTCACATATAATGATTTGATACAGTGGCTTCTATAGTTTTATATACAGTCTGGTTAAAGGTTTCCTGAACTACTCTGTATGTTACTATGTGTGTGGTTCATGGGCAGACAATACTAAGTGGCCTGATTTTCTCTATGGGGAGGGTATAATAGAGTTTTGCCTATTATCTGTCTGTTTCAGATGATTACGTTTTTCCCGATGACCATCCTTCAGATTTGCCATTAGTGACAATTGAGGAAGGCTCTCTGTTCCAAGCTGCGTACCCTGCGATAGTTGATTTGTATCAAAAAGAAAAAGCTGAAGAGGAAATCAAGAAGCAGAAAAGTATGTTTGTTTTTTTATTTTTTCTGTTTTGTTGTTATTTTCTCTTACACTAGATCTGTGACTGAACCATGGCTTCCTCTAGGCCAGTGATGGCGAACCTTTTTAAGCCCGAGTGCCCAAACTACAATACATGACAACTTTTTTTTCCTCAAAGTGTCAACACGGCAATTAAACCTGAATACTGAGGTTTAAGTTTAGAAAAAACAATTCGTACAGTTGTCCGAATTAATTAACAAGTTTTGTTTTAAAAGAAAAATACAACAGAGAATTCAATGATACAAATTTTAAATAATGATATAAATAGATAAAATTAAGCTTATGTTTATTGGTATCTCCAACAAATGGAATACACACACAGTCTGCTGAATACACATACAGTGTATTAGGGGGGTGTGTGTGGGTGGGGGGGTGTGGGTTGGGGGTGTGGGTTGGGGTATGGGTTGGGGGTGTGTGTGTGGGTGGGGGTGTGGGTTGGGGGTGTGTGTGTGTGGGTGGGGGTGTGGGTTGGGGGTGTGTGTGTGGGTGGGGGTGTGTGTGGGTGGGGGTGTGTGTGTGTGGGTGGGGGGTGTGGGTTGGGGGTGTGGTGGGGTGTGTGTGTGTGGGTGGGGGGTGTGTGTGGTGGGGTAGGTGGTGTGTGTGTGTGTGTGTTTGGTGGGGTGTGTGTGTGTGGTGGGGGTTGGTGCAGATTGGGATGTGTGTGTGTGGTCAGGGTGGGATGTGTGTGGGTGGGGTGTGTGTGTGTGTGTGGGGAGTTAGCTGTGTGGTTATTATTATTGGGTGGGGTGTGGTGTGTGTGTGTGTGTGGTGGGGTGGGATGTGTGTGGGTAGGGGTGTGTGTGTGTGTGGGGGGTGCTGTGTGGTGTGGGTGGGGTGTGGTGTGTGGATGTGTGTGTGTGTGTGTGTGGTGGGGTGGGTGATGTGTGTGTGTGTGGTGGGGTGGGTGTGTGTGTGTGTGGTGGGGTGGGTGATGTGTGTGTGTGTGTGGTGGGGTGGGTGATGTGTGTGTGGTGGGGTAGGTGATGTGTGTGTGTGTGGTGGGGTAGGTGATTGTGTGTGTGGTGTGGTGTGTGTGTGTGGTGTGGTGGGGGTGTGTGTGTGGGAAGGTAGTGGTGCTGTGTGGGAAGGTAGGGGTGCTGTGTGTGTGGAGGGGGGGTAGGGGTGCTGTGTGTGTGGAGGGGGGGGGTGGTAAAAAAAAAAAAATCCCTGTGGTCCAGTGGTGGTAAGGATTGTAGGGAGCATCTCCCCTGTCCTCCTGTGCGATGCTGTGTGGAGCATTGCCATGGAAACGCAGCAACGCTCCACACAGATTGCTCGCGGGAGGACAGGGGAGCTGCTTCACAGATCCCTCCCCCTGCCTCCTGACGCGGAAGCAGAGTAGGCGCCTGCCGTTCTGCATTGATGGCGAACCTGTGGCCGCGTGCCCACAGAGGGCACGGCGTGCCACAGGTTTCGCCATAACTGCTCTAGGCTGATCAGTAACGACGCGGCAGCCAGTGTAAAAAGCATGTATCTGTAAAGTTACAGATCCGTTTGACACTGTTCGAATTGTAACTTTATTTGATCTTTAGAATCTTTTAAAGGTACAAGCTAATTAAGATATTGTTTATTTACCTTTCCATTTATAGCATACTGGTGCTTTCTAATAATTCACTGTTTAAGCAGTCACATGTTCATGCATAGTAAGATAAGCACGAAGTCCCCATGGGATCCGATCCATCCTTGTGGAATGGAAGCCAGTACAAAAGGCTATGGTCCCAGGTCATAGAAAGTGGCAGAGCCAGGGACTGTATGACATTTACTTCAAAAATACCACATTGTACCCTGGAAATAATATGTATGGATAATTCAATTGAGAATGTTTGTCTTTACTGTTGTTGTGTTAGAAGTGATCAGAATGTACTTTGAGTGTTCCCCTTCGTAGACTTTTATTGGTCATATTCTCATGAAATAGAATCACAGTTAGGATGAATTTGCTGAGCTAGGCTGTATTATTGGCAATAAATTATTGGTGGTTTCAAAGCCTGAACCTACTGACACTTTGTTACTGCTGTAACATATACTCGGAAATGTCCTTTCTAGGAAAAAGATTTGATATAAGGATTGCAGCATTAAATTATTATTTAATGTACTGCTATTTAACCTACTTCTGGTATTTTTTCTCTTTCAATTAATGTGCAAGTTGTCTATTGTCCAAATGGAATTTGCAGATACTGTAAGATTCATAGGGACACAGCGCTTTTTAAATGCGACCATTTTAAAAGACAATTTGCATGCAGCCGCAAGTTCTTGGCACAGCATAATGTAAAATCATACTGTTCTGTACAGCAATGGTTGTTTGCCAAGTAATTATTCATGTCTGTCTTTTTAGGCAAGAAGACAAAGCCAAGGACTAAAACTACTCCTGATCTGGATGATGTTGCTTTAATGTTGTCTGAAATGGACTTAAAACCTTCTTCGGAAGACCCTACTCCACCAGATTCTGCAGTGGATGCTGCTGAAATTTTGAACTGTGAAAATAATGTTCTAAAATTCACTCTCAGTTCTTCTGATTTACCTGTTGTTGCAGATCCTTTAGTGAATATGATAGCTTTGATAGATTCCGAAACCGAGTCTGAGGTTTTCACTCCACACATTGATAATGGGAAGATTCTCGGTGATGCTTGCTGCTCACCAGCACAGTGCAGTAGTCCTCCCATAACCGCACAATCACCTAATGTCTCCTCTGTGATTTCAGAGCTTCAGTTGAGCGGCATTGACTGGGATGCAACGTCATTTGTCCAGTCCCCTCAAACAGTAGCCCGTACTGCTGGGGTGGATTGTTCAAAGCAAAATAAACATGACTCTTTAGATGACAATCAATCTACTAACAATATAAAAATGGTTGACCTCAATGTAAATGGGACCATAAAGGAAATGCCTGCATCCACTGGTGTGGACAGCAAATTAGTGACCTCTTCCAAGGAAGACTCAAAACTGGAATACCAAACCTTATCATTAAAAGAGAGAATACTTTTAAAGAATGCTTATCAGTGTGGCGTCCCTTACCCTCAAACTCATATTGACAAAGTGTATTCCCTTGCCCCTCTAAGTCTCCACAAGAGGGAATCTTCAGATTTGAGTTCTAAGAAAGCAGTTCTTCCTTTGGCTGATGAAGGTGCAAAGGAAAATAAGCAAGTGCATGAACTACATGCAGAAACAACAAGCATAAATAAAGAAACGGTTATATCCATAAAACCAATAGTCAGCTCATTCACAAAGGCTCAACCTTTGGAACTCTCTAACGCAAAGCCATATAATTTTGTATCAGATGTCAAAAAGACTGCTTCTGTTCCTGTAAAAAAGGCCTACACTTTTGTGAAAGATCCAAAGAAAATGCCCATTGTGCCCATGAGAACGCTTTCAGCAGGAAATATTTCTACAAAACCAACAAGCCAAACAGCTACAAAAGTATCTGTGAAAAAGACTGTCTGTCAGAAGACGGTCTCATCTAGTGAAGACAGTGAGGCGGAGGAGAAACCATGGCAGAAACTAACAAAGAACAAGATCTCAAGTGCCCTGAATAAGGACATCCCAAAAGACAAAAGTGACAAACTCAAAATACAACCAGCGGTGAACAAACTAGATGTTGCCATGAAAATGCATACCAAAATCTCATTACCAAACACTAATACTCATGACAATTACAATACAGAACTTCTGCTAAGCCCTCCTGAATCTAAGACACCAAGTACGGAAACTCTTGGAGACGACAGTGATGAAGATGACTCTCTGATTTGCATGGACAGTCCATTACCACTGTCTGAAAGACTTAAACTAAGATCTATGCAGAACATTTAAATTAGCTATTAAAAGCCATTTATCAACACAGCTGAATTGTTTGTTTGAAAACTGTAAGTAAAGATGGTAACATAAAGTTACTGGTTTCCAATAAGACTTATCAGAGAGTGGGCACCACAGTTGCAGTATATAAACGCTGTCCTCTTTATAGCAGCTGTTGACATTTTTTATGAGACATTACTATTTTTAGTTTAAATTATATTTTATATATTTTTTCTGTGCTCACTCTCCTATCTTGTATTGACCTGGTTGGGATTTTGAAAGTCAGTATCTTTGTTCAATTTTGGATTAATCAGAGCACCCATTTTTAAATAGAAATCGTGTCCAATATAAATTACTAAATACATTTTAATAATTATGCTTCTCTCCTATTGTTGTATTATTTATTTTGACAATGTACATAAATTAAATTCTTAAACTATTGTTGTGATATTTCTTAATGGATGGTGTATGACAAGATGGAGGAGACGATCACTCATTCATTTTTAAAGGGGCACCAGAATAACTAACATCTATTGCATTTGTTCTGGTGAGTATAATTATTCCCTTCAGGCTTTTTGCTGTAAACACTGTCTTTTCAGAGAAAATGCAGTGTTTACATTACAGCCAAGGGATACCTCCACTGGCCACTTCTCAGATGGCTGCCTGAGGTGCTTCCTGGGGCAGGTCTGCACAGTGAGCAGCACTGCCATTCAGTGGCTCTACCCTCTGCATGCAGACACTGAATTTTCCTCATAGAGATGCATTGATTCAATTCATCTCTGAGGCGATGCTGATTTGCCAGGGCTGTGTTTGACTTGTGCTGGCTCTGCCCCTGATCTGCCTCCTTCACAGTCTGAGCTCTGTGATTGGCTCAGACCACCACTTCTGATGATGTCAGCAGGCAGGTCCGAAGCAGACAGGGACAGAGCCAGCAGCCTTGAATACTGGATCAACAGCAACAACATATGTGAGGAAGGCTGAACTTGATGGACGCAAGTCTCTTTTCAGCTATGTAACTAAGTAAGATGTTACTAAATTTAGGGAGGCAAGTGGGGGAACAGGGGGATAGATGGTGGTTTTAACACTATAGGGTCAGGAATACATGTTTGTGTTCCTGGCCCTATAGTGTTCTTTTAAGGTAACATTGCAACTCAATTTTGTAATCTTTTTTTTATTTTGAAAACATAAAGAGAGTGTACGAAAAATATGCAAAAACAATAACTTAAAGAGAATAAAAATATACTCCGACTTGGAGGTCTTGTATTTGATGCCAATCTCAAGACTATGCAGGGCCTGAAGTGAGCTCTTCGCAAACCAGGAAGTGACTGTTTTTTTGTTTTGTTTTTTAACCCCTTAAGGACACAGCTTCAGAAGCTTGTCTTACGCTTAATGACACAAGCAATTTTTGCATTTTCTTGCTGTATGCGTTCAACTGCAATTTGCATCTCTCTCGTTTATTGCACCGACACATATTATATACTGTTTTTTAAAGGACATAAAGGGCTTTAATTTGATGTAACATATATATATATAAATGCTTATTTATTATTTTAAAAATACAGAAAAATGCAAAAAAAAGAAAAATTTTGTGTTTTTTGTACAGTTTTTACAATAATAATGTGTGCCTAATTAGTGCAGGTTAAAGAAAGTAATTAAAAATAAATTTATTTAGTTGTTCTGATTTACAAAATATATAATGTGTCTGGGATTTAAAGTTTTTTTTGGTAGTTACAGGTCATAAAGCACAAGGAGTAAAATAAACTTTTAATGTAGAGCGATTTTAGAATTTTGTATGTTTGTCTTGTAAGCTTAATAGCCATAAAAGAAAACAAAATTGCCACACAAAAGTATATATTTATATAAAGTAGACATCACAGGCTATTGTCCTAAGGTTTTTTTGACACTTTCTAAGTAGCCATTTCACCGCCAATCTCTGCTAAATATTGGAGTAAAATTTAGTTTTTTGGAGTTTTTGGCACACAAACTTATAACAAAGAACTTCCCATGTATATTTTGTAAAGTTGGTGTGTGCTATTCCTGTACAAAGTTTTATTTTGTGTTCAGTTACTTCTGCTGAGTACAACGATACCCCCATTGTATGTCTTTGGCACTATTTCGTGAAGCTACAGTGCCATATAGGAGACCTGTCCGTTTCAACATTTACAGTAGAATTTTGAGAGGCGGATTTAATGGGCCTATGCTTCAATTTGGGGTATTATAGCAGTTTGACTGTTCAAAAAAAAACCACAAAGGCCTACCATTTGTAAAAGTAGACACTCCAGGGTATCTCATATGGTGCATATTGTGCCTTAACATGCCCCCATTTTTTCACCAATATATGCCAAAGTATGTGGTAAAAAATAATTTTGGGCATTTTTTACATACGGATTACATTTTTGCTGGGCATTTTGTACATTTCATATGTGCCACTAAGTTCAAACCCCCCAAATTATGCTCAGCTAAGTCTTCTGAGTAAAACAATATGCCCAATGTATGACCTAGACACTATTTTGTGAAGTTACACTGCTATAAAAGAGACGTAACAAGTTAAGGTTTTTAAGTGTGAATTTTCATGGAGGGTTTTGATGCGTCCGTGCCCACTTTGGAGCACTTGAGCAGGCTACATATTACAACTACAACATAAAGGCATACCATTTCTTAAAGAACACATCCCAGGGTATTTCAAAAGGCATATTTTGAACCTTAGCGTGGGATAATTTTTCCGCTAGCTTGTACCAAGTGTAATGGTAATAAGCGTTTTTTTGCCTTTTTGACACACAAAGTAAATTTGCGCAGTACATTTTGCAAATCTTATGTGTGCTACGACTGTATAATACTTCATATGTTGCTCAGCTATGTCGGCTGAGTACATCAATACCCCCGTATGTACCTTTGCCAGGTATATGTGGACATCGGAGGGGCACATTTGGGACACAGCCATTCCAGTTCATTTCAAACTTTAAATTTTTACACTGTTCCCATGTCCCATTTTAGAGTATTTTACCAGGCTATATAATCCAAATACCCCATAAAGCCATACCATTTCTTAAAGAAGACATCCCGGGGTAATTCAAAAGGCATATTTTGAACCTTAGCGTGGGATAATTTTTCCGCTAGCTTGTACCAAGTGTAGTGGTAATAAGCATTTTTTCTGCCTTTTTGACACACAAAGTGAGTTTGCGCAGTATATTTTGCAAACCTTATGTGTACTACGACTGTATACTACTTCATATGTTGCTCAGCTATGTCGGCTGAGTACAGCAATACCCCCGTATGTACCTTTGCCAGGTTTATGTGGACATTGAAGGGGCACATTTGAGACACAGCCATTCCATTTTTTTCAAACTTTGAATTTTTACGCTGTGTCCATGTCCCATTTTAGAGTATTTTAAAAGGCTATATAATCCAATTACACCATAAAGGCATACCATTTCTTAAAGAAGACATCCCGGGGTAATTCAAAAGGCCTATTTTGAACCTTAGCGTGGGATAATTTTTCCGCTAGCTTGTACCAAGTGTAGTGGTAATAAGCATTTTTTCTGCCTTTTTGACACACAAAGTGAGTTTGCGCAGTATATTTTGCAAACCTTATGTGTACTACGACTGTATACTACTTCATATGTTGTTCAGCTATGTCGCTGAGTACAGCAATACCCCCGTATGTACCTTTGCCAGGTATATGTGGACATTGAAGGGGCACATTTGAGACACAGCCATTCCAGTTTTTTCCAAACTTTGAATTTTTACGCTGTGTCCATGTCCCATTTTAGAGTATTTTACAAGGCTATATCATCCAATTACACCATAAAGGCATATCATTTCTTAAAGAAGACATCCCAGGGTAATTCAAAAGGCATATTTTGAACCTTAGCGTGGGATAATATTTCCGCTAGCTTGTACCAAGTGTAGTGGTAATGAGCATTTTTAAATGTATTTTTTTACTTTGTAAAACTTTTTTTACTTTGTAAAACCCATTTTTAAACTTTTTTTTTTACTTATTAAATGTTTTACACTATCTTAACTTTTTTTACACTTTTAATTTTTTTTCTAAACTTTTCTTTTACCGTTAACCCCTAACTAGCAGTAAGCAGCACTAACCGTAAATTCCCCATTTTCCCATAACTCCCACCCACCCCAGCTAGCAAAATATTTAATTATAAAATATTTAAATTAATTAATTAAATAAATGGAACCCCTGAGGGTTAAAAAAAATAAATAAAAGTTAATCCTCAGGGGTTAAAAAAATTAGATCACAGTATAATACTGTGATCTGTATTTTGATCACTGTAGGCAGTGATCAGCTGGCAGGGAAGGGGTTAATTTTTATTTACACTGGGTAAAGGGGGTGGTATTTTTTTTTTTTTTTACTTAAACGTTACTAAAACATTTAAAAAAAAATTTTTTTTTACCTTTTTAAAGCTTATTTTAAAACTTTTTTTAACGTTAACCCCTAGTTAGCCTAACAAAAAATTCCCCAATTCCCCACTAACTTCCACCCATCCCAGCTAGCTAAATATATAATTTTTTAATATTTAAATTAATTAATAAAATAAATTTAACCCCTGAGGGTTAAAAAAAAAAAAAACCCTCAGGGGTTAAAAAAATCAGATGACATTAAAATGTATACCCTGCCAATTGATCACTGTAGTCAGTGATCAATTGGCAGGGAAGGGGTTAATTTTATTAAAACAGGGGCAGGGGGGGTGGGATTTAACTTTATTTTTTTTTTTTTTTTACACAGGGAAGCAGATCAGCACTGATCCGTCTCCCTGCACTTCACACAGAACCCGGAAGTGCAGGGAGGCGGAAGGTGAGTATGTGGAGCACATGTGCTCGCTCTGACATGCTGTCAGAGCGAGCACCGGTGCTGGGGCAGCCCGATCGGGTGCTCCCGGTCTGCCTCTAATGCAGAGGCAGACCGGAGCACCGTTAACCCCGCGATTGCCGCGATCGCGGCGATCTGGGGTTAACTTAAGAAAATGACGGAAATTTTCCGTCAACGGTCCTTAACTGAAGGACAAGGTTGACGGAAAATTTCCGTCCACGGTCGGGAAGGGGTTAATTCTTCTTTTGTAGAACGCCGAAGCCTATCCAATAAGCAGTGATATATAGGCAGTGCAAGGGTTTCTGAAGAGTTATAGTTTGTCATGTTTATGCAAAGTTGTGGTGCATAAATATTATTAAAAATTAGGAATATTATAAAGCAAACATACTTTACATAACTGTAACAAAACAGACACATTGCACCTATCTTGTATGGATGCCTGCAGTGTCCCGTTAATTCTA